TCTGGCAGTTAAAGCAACAAAACTATTTTCTAACATGGCCTAATAATCTATTGCTCTTCCAATGCTTTCTTAAGAAGGAAGAAAGGCTACCTGATCATTTCCACTCTCATTTATGACAGAACACGATGACAGCAAGCAGCCTGCTGCTGGGATCACTGAACACACAGACATTTCACAAGATCTGCAGTGAATCCCTGAGCAGGGAAGCTCACATAAGGTGGATGTTACAGTTAGACAAAAGTTACTTAAGCAAACTTCTGTATCTACTATGTTGTTACTGGTGTGTGCTAAATCTCTTCAATGAAGTATCAAAAACCTTTCCAAAAAACACATAAGCAAAACACAATTAAACATCTCAACTAATACAGAATGCTTTATGTTTCTCAGGAAAGAGAAGCTGCTTGGGGACCAATCAGGTCTGCTTCAATATGTTAGCAGAATTCTACCCATCAGAAAAAGAAAGTTATTTAAAAAAGCAGTATAAAAGAGATGAAGAGAAACTGAGAAATGTGCTGTGTGAGTGGTGCTCTGAAGTTTTATTCCAGTAGCATCAGGTAACGTTCTATATTGGTGTAAGTGAATGATACAATTATCTGTACTTACAGCAGCTTTTTTAGCACATGGCTTTTGATAAACATGTGTGAATGGTGAACCCTTCAGTTTCCTGCAAGGCTCTGCTTCTGCATGAAGTATAGGCAGGGTCTATGCAATAAATTACTGTGTTGTTTCAATTACTTTGGGCATGCTCAGAAAAATAGAAGGTTTTGTAACTGTGACTTCAGAACCCAGATAGCTATAGATATTAGGTACATACAGAATAAAAAAAAAGCTTGCCAATAATATCTTGGCTTTTAATAATACAGCCTTCTTGTAGATAACATCTTTTGATTTTAAGTAATGACTCATAATTAAAATAAATACAACTCATCACAGTATCTGATCAAAGATTCCCAATTAAACTTGTTTGTAACAAATTTATTTCCTGCTTGCTATAGCTCAAATATTGTACTTTACATACAGCTGGAGGTTTTGTATAGTTGGATGATGACTGAAAGTTCAACAGCATGTCTGAAGTGTGCCACTGATAACTAGGATAGCACCACTGAAATGCTGCTAGTTGGGAGGTGAAGAATAAAAAAAGATCTTCGTAATACAGAGTAATTTAAGTTTTGTGTTTTTTTTTCAGAAGAGCTATTGCAAACAAAATCCTTTCAAGAAAAGCTGTGATAACATCGTACTTCTTCCTTGCACTGCCTTTCTCCTGAAGCTCCCTGGCTCTCCTACAGACCTCTGCCCTGCCAGTTAATGATACAGTATCCTTTTGCAACCCCTGCTCACTAACTACTGGGTTCAGCCTGACCTGACCAAGATGCACACGTGTCCTCCAGCCTCCACTTCTCCATGCAGACAGCTTTTAAGGGTAAATGGCAAGGTAGAAAGTTTGCCCACTATAAGGCAGTGAAGTATCACTTCAACGATACTGAACTCACTTTAAACAGTTTCACTTACTTCAACCCCAACTTCTTCTCAATAAGATCTTTAAATTTATAGGCACCACCACCTGTAGCTTTGATGACTTGAGTCTCTGTATTGACAAGATGGTCTTTGATGAAATCTAGACAAGTTTCGATATAATTGTTCTCAAACTTGATGAAGTGAAGGCGAGCTGTTATCTCCTCCTGAACTGATATTTCATACAAAGGTTCATTTTCTATGTCCTTTAAAAGAAAACAATTAAAAATTTATAGTAAATTTTCTTCCATGCATGAAATCAAAACACGTACGAAACAATAGTTTACATGTTTTTCAGAAGTGCCATACTCATCTGTCTAGAAAATAACTATTTCAAACAGTAACTGCAGCAATCTAAGCACTGTCATTGTGGAAGCTAGAAACGTAATGGAGATCACCCACATATGGGCTATATATAATAATATTATATATATATATTGCAGCCTCACAATCAGCATTGCAGTGAATAGAAACACATTAACTTGTATCTTGAGCTGTATTGAATTTGCAAATTCAAGTAAAGCCAAACTCATGTTAAAGGCTGTTTTCCTGTGAAATATGGTAAAAGGTCATTAGCAGGAACCACACTCTTATGAGCTGTAGCACAAACGCTTAGGGACAGCTTGAAGTGTCAGTACATACTAGAATGTGTATTTAAAATAGATGCTGTGGTTGTCACAAATTCAGAACAAAGGCATTACAGAAAGTCATAGTCAAACTGAGTAAATTGCAAATAATGTTTTGTATAGAAAGAAGCACTAGACAGCTTTCAAACACGACTCCTGTTGGAAAAGCCCAGTATCTTACTTCCAGTTCTGGTTCTACTTTTGTTATGAGTCAATCTCATGTAATTCATTAATGATGCAGTCCTTACCTTTCCAGAATGATCAAAGGATCTCACTCTTGCCACTTTGTGCTGCACAGTTGAATAATAAGCCAACTTGGTTAATGAGCCTCCTGTTAAAAGAGATGACAACTTATGATTAATGCCTCACCTTAGAGCAAACAACAGAACTTATGTTTCTGTATGCTTTACCTAAAAGCTTTTAGCTGAGTTCTCTTCTTCTAAAGCCAAATACAATTAAGCTAAGTGCATAATGTAGTGATCAAAGAACCCTTGTCTTAAAACCTGACCTGGCATAGTTAGTGGCAAATGCACTATATGGGAAGAACTCCAGGAAATCCACATACAGCAGCTGATGTATCTGGTTTCTGTTCATCTCCAGCCATCTCCACAAGTTCTTACTCATCTATACCACCATGTCTGCCTGCTCTACAGGTAGCTCAGTTGAAATCCTCAGCTACCTGAGCTGAGTAAATAACTGAAGGCAAAGCACGTATCAGCACAGCATACACTCCGTGTATTTGAAAACTTTCTAGAAGCTCCCAGATCTGCTGCTTACAAGATTTTATATGTCAGCTTGCCATGTTTGAGCAATACATGAATTCAGACTGAGAAATGTGATTTACTCATTTTTCTTTGGGCAAATCAGTACCTGCTGTCTTAATCAAGTGGATGTTTGACCATGAACATACAGTGCTGTCAAAATGTTTGTTAAAATGTGCTTTTTTCTTTCCTTAGAAAGAGGAGAGGTACGAGGGGAATCCTCTTCAACCTCTCATGTATTAAAGTATCAGTAAGCTTCATAAAACTCAGCTGCTGTGGTTGTTGGAGAAAAAACATTAATTTTAACTCAGATAAAAGCAGCGTGGGCTGCAGACCACGCACCTTATCATATAGAAAGGCAGCTTTAACTCTGTACCCATGTCTCAAACGTGACCACAAGGCACTCAGAAGCTCCATACTTCTCAGTGCTACAGTTCTATCCCATAGCTGTGTTTAAATCTGTATGCATAGCTGGCCTCTGGCCAGAGGTCTGGCACGCTGCCTTCTCAGTACGTGTGTGCAAGAGCAAGCAAACAATTATAACCAGCTTCTGGGTTAAAACCTAAGTCCTAGCAGTAAGAAGCCTGTCAGTTCATAACAGAACTGCCAAGTGCAGTGCTCCTAACTCTGCTGCCTTACAAATGAATGTAATCAAGGAATGCAGCTTGAAAACTAATCTGCTGGTGCCTGTAGCTTTGCCTACATAGCAGCGCCACGAGCACAGCTCGTCTCTTCCACAGTGCTGAGATCAACACGGCATTTTTCGGCAATCTAAGAGAAAAACGGAAGGCATTCTCCAGCACAACTCAAGCGAGGTCAGAGCAGCGCAACGCCTGCAGACACTTATAGCAACAAAAGCAATAAAGCCTTCCTGCCCTCAGATCTCATTTCAGGGCAGGGGGCAATGCTGTAACGCTCCTGGTGCACAAAATCCGAAGCTGCTTATTGCCTACAGGTGAGGTTTTTCGTCTTCAAAAAGCGAAACAGCGACAACAAAAAAACCTCAGTGACTTCGTGTGCTACGCGGAGAAGCTTTCCTGCGAACCTGGTGGCGGAGAAACCGCTCGTGCTGAACGCAGCGCTCTGTACAGCAGCAGCGGGCCGTGCCGAGGGGCATCGGGGCTCCGCTGCGCTGTGCCGCACCCGGGGCCGTTCGGGCCTGCTGCCACCGAGCAGCCCCCCGCCCCGCCGCCTGGCGGGAGCAGCCGAGCCCGCGAGCTCCGCGGAGAGCAGCCCGCGTCCCTCAGCCCGCCGGGCTTCCCTTTCCTCGCCCCTCTCCGCCGCCAAGGGCAGCCCCGCGTTGTCCCCAACCAGGCTTCCCCCCCCCCCCGCTGCCCATTACCGCCGCGCGGGGCACGCCGGGAGCTGTAGTGCCGCTCTCCGCCTGCGCAGCGCCACCGCCCGGGGATGGAACTTCAAATCCCGTCGTGCCCCGCGCCACCCCCTCGGCGCGTTGCGTGCCGGGAGCTGTAGTCAAGCTCCGGGGCTCCGCGGCGGCGCGGGCAGCTCAGGGGACTGCATGTCCCAGCGTGCCCCGCGCGCCAGCGGGAAACGGGCCCGGTGAGTCCCCGCAACGGGGCGAGAGCCGTCGCCCTTCCCCCTCTCCTCCGCGATGCCGTCCCCGCCCGGTTACCGATGTCGATGGCGAAGCGCTTGGCGTTCTCCAGGTTGCGGAAGATTTCGTCAGGCGGGAGGGTGATGCTCTTATCCAAACTGCCGTGCCCGCCGCTCCCTCTGCCGCCCCGCTCCGCCATTTTGAACGCTAGCCCCGCTCCTCGACCGGCCTCATCGGTATGCAAATGTATGTGCATAGATTTGCATGTTAACGAGGCGGGGCGCGTGGCTGAGGCGGGAGGTGAGGGGCGTGCGCGCGCCGTGCAACGGCCGCTCTGGGCGCGTGCGCGGCGTCACGGCCGTCCTGAGCGCGTGCGCGGAGTAACGGTCGCTCTCGCGCCTCTTCCCGCCTCGGTGCTGAGGGGAGCGGGGCGGCGTCGGCGCGGTGCTGCGTCGTGCGGGGCCCCGCCAGCCGCCGTGCGGGCATCTGATGCTGTTACATCAGCCCCTGTGGACCTTCTTCGTCTCTGGTGGGCCGCAGGTAAGCCCAGGCAGCAGGAATGTTGCCAGGGCTGTGTTGGCTGCATTCTGTAGCAAGTGCTGTTTGTGCGAAGCTCCGTTCCTCACCTGGGCTGCGTTGCATCCACGCAGCCGAGGTCTGCGCTCCCTTCACGGCCCTCAGCCGTGTGGTAGCCCTGCTGGGTTTGCCCGGTGTGTGCTGCAGCTTCACAGCCCGCGGCTCAGCCCGTTCGGTGACTCACACAGGATGCTGAACACGGCACTGAGTGTCTCAGCGAACTGCGAGGCACATGGGTTGTGTCTGGGAGGTGGGTGTGACGTCTCCCTTTGCCCCTGCTGTGACCTCCCTTGACAAATGTGGCTCTAAGCTTCCAAACCACTTGCAGAGTGGGGAGGCTTCTGGTTTTGCCTCAGGAGCTCTGTTCGTTAATGTGGAGCTTTGTGTTCATTCCTGGAAAGCAGCGTTGGGGGTTTGGGTGGACATGGAGCAGTACAGCTGCTCCCAGCAATGCGTGCTTTTTGTACCAAAATCTGCCTGTTTAGCTCACAAACCGAGGGTGAGCCTGGAACTGCAAGGAAGTCAGCTATGCAAATCACTCAATAAATCCAACAAGTTATTCTTTCTTAACTCAATTTTTATTTTGTGTGACCCCTGAATTCAGGATGGTTTCTCACACGAGTTATGCAGTGGTGCAGCTCGCACGTAACATAACATCCTCCAAGGACAGCACTGATTTTACATTCTCCCCGGTGGGGGTACCAAACAGTAAATATAATTTGTACAACTGCCTTTCATAAAAGACTGATAAATATTTCATGTAAAATCGACAACACGGCCGTAACTTTCATTCCTATAAGGATATTAGAAGGAGCTCTTGCCTTTATAAAAGGCATACGTATCCTGAACCTCACAAACAGCACTCTGACTTTGCAAGCAAGACATCCCGAGAAATTTCCTCTACCCGGCTTGAGTTACGGTGTAACCATTTCCGGAGCATGCTCAGTACAGTCTACAAATATCATAGAACCTGCTGGCAGCCAGGTTTTCACATGTGTGCGCTTAGCCCAGCCCCAGCTGCTGCCTGCAGCTCAGGTGAAGGTGGTGTGGGGGTCCCGAGCAGGGCAGGATGCAGGCGGGGCTGCTGCTGAGCGGACACCTGAAAACGCTGACCCAAACATCTCAGCAGTTACAGCTTTCTCAACAGATGTACCCGTGCAACCTCACTAAGGTTAAGAACAGTCAGCGTTCCTCTCTGAACGACTCGGTCCTCCTAGCAGGAGGGTTACGTCCCGCATTCCTTCAGAATAACTTTCTTTCCACGTGGTGGGAACGTTTCAGTCCTTCTGGAAGAAGGGAAGCAGGCATCCACGTGCAGTAATGCTCTGCAGAAGGAAAACATTTTTTCCTACTAGTGAGAGGAGTAAGGGGACTTCTCTAGCAAGTCGTGGTCTCCTCTGGAATGTGCGCCAGTGTCCAGGTGATAGTGAGCACGCTCTTGGCCTACCAAGGCCTCCAGAGGTTGCAGGAGGGCTTCGCTGGTGCTTGTTTTGCAGAAGGCTGGTGAGTGGAAGTGGGTGCAGAAGGAGAACCAGAGTCCTTGGGCATTGCTTGTGACCTCTGGAAATGGCAGATGAGCTTCATCTGGGTTTCTGTGTTTGTTGAATGGAGAGAGAGGAATTGCAGAGCTTCTTTGAGGCACCAGGCATACCCTTCGCAGTAATCCTGCTGTAGGCTTTTGGCAGAGGCTGCAAAAGCTGAAAGAGGAGATGAGGAAAGAAGCGTTAGGCAGGCAGACTCAGATGGGTGTTGTGCCAGAAAGCAAGGGCAGCAAGGAGTCAGGGATCAGGGTGTGCGCTCACCTCGGCTGTACTTCAGGTAGCTGACAGTCATCTCCAGGATGTCGGCTTTCTCCAGCTTGGAGTTGGGTTGGTGTCTCTGGAACTCCTTCTCCAGCAGCACCTTCAGCTGCTCAATGCTGCTGTTAATCCTATCGCGACGCAGTTTCTCTACAATGGGTTTTCTGAGCTGTAACACAAAGCAGCAGGACAGTTAGTGACAAGATTTTCCCCTTCCATCTCTATGTCATCCGCTGCTAAAGGGGCTCAGCCCTTCTCAGCCATGTGCCCTTGCAGTCAGAGCGGATACTTACTCTGTTCTTCTCTTTGGGTGTCAGGATTTCCAGGGAGAGAGCGCTGGGAGCCATTATCCGAGAGCTGCTGTCAGCACGAAGCTGGCTGCTTGGCCGGTGGGGAAAGCAGTGGAGAGTTCCTCTATTTATACGCAGGAGCTGCATACAAATGTATGGGTCCAAAGCTACTTTGAGTTTCCCACAGTCGAGATAGCCAATCCATGTGTGCCCCGGGACAATAGGGACAGCATCTATTACAGCATGGTGAATTGACTGTGAATTGCCTGGGGATAATACCCTGCTCCCAAAGGAGCAGGTGGACCGAGGAGTGTGCGACACAATAGGGCCTGGCATGAGGGCGCTGGGGTAAGAACGTGGGAAAGCGTTTGCCATCATTATAATCCAACTTCTGCCTGATGTTGGGAACGTCGACATCTCAATGTGCTGCCTTTTCCCAGGCTGTGCTGAAATTAAGCACAGAAGACTGATCCCAGGAAGAGATAATGCTGTGTCCCCATGACCAAAAGAGAGCTTGAAAAGGAAAAGATGCAGAATTAGAGGGAGTAAACCCTTTCATTGACGTTAAACCGTGCTTAGATGAATACAGTACCAGATAATTTTTAGACAACTAGTGACTGAAATCAAGAGAAGAACACTTGAAACAACTTGCTCTAAGCTGTTAGCTCACAATATTTTCCTTTCCCCTGTTTAAATGTGTCAAGTTCATCTGTAAGGTATATTAAGAGCTCTTCCTTGCTTTGTTTGGATAATCTGGGCTCTCCTGTGGCAGCCCGTGGCATGTAATGATTATGAGGCCTTTCCCAAATGTGTCCTATTTGATTTCACGGCAGTTTGCAAATGCCTCCCTGTTCCCTTGGTTCTGAGACTCTAAGCAAAGCCCCTAAATATAGTTTCCCTGTACAGGCAGCTGAGGTGTAGGAAGGTCAGCTCTTGCTATCGATTTATGTGCGTTACCCTATTTGCTGGACGTAAGCACAGCTGCTAGGATACCCTGGGACTCTCTGCCACCCTGGACTTTCTCAGTACCTTCCCTTGTGCGTTACAGGGCAGGTAAGGAAGCAGAAGGAAGCAGGCAGGGTCTGGGGCTAAAGCCACCTTTCTGAGATGTTTTCCAGGCAGCTGCAGGTTCTGGGCCCGCTGCCACAGCTCCATCCAATATGGATCTAGCAGGGCAGTCCTGCCCTTGCAAATGCAAGGTCAGGGGCTGGCACTGTTGGTGCTTGAGTACCCATTTCTCACTACAACAGTGTCTGTGGAAACCCTCTCTGTTTCCTCTGCCAATCTTTCAAAACTAATGAGGAAACCTTTCATTTCCCGTGCCAGCTGCAGTCAGCCTGCTTCCCTGCGCTCAGCATCGCTGTCAGCAAGGCCACAGCCTGTTGTCATTGCTGATGGTTGGCAAAAACCTATTGCTGAGCAAAGAGTTTGAGTCGTGTTGGAAATCAATTCCCAGCATTGTTTTGTCAGTTTGTGGCTGGCACTGTTACTTGCACCCGAGGCAACCCCTGCTGTATGTCCTTGCTGTATGTCCGTTCTGGGTGTGCTGTGCAGCTCTGGGCCCATGTGGAATGGCTGTGGCATGTGGGAAGGCCTGGCGGCAAAGAGCTCAACGAGGTGGGAGGGAAGCTGTGACCCAATTTTCAGTTCTGGAGATATGAAGTGAGTGGTTTTAAATAATGCCATCCCATCACCAACGTCCCATGGCTCTCAAGGGCTAAACCAGCTCGCGCTGATTAAAGCATTATCCGTTCCTCGGCGCGGGCAGATGGTGCAGCAGGCGTTAGCTTTCTGCTTGGGACCCACCGAGGCACACTTCTTTTGTTGGCAGTTTAACACCGTGAATGGGGCAATGTGGGAAACCCTTGGAATTGCGGGCTCGCACCATCTGATGTGAATGGTGAACCAGGCAAGCTGCCTTGCACAAAACAACAGCCCTCCGCCTTGAGCCCCAGCTTCCCTCCCCCCGAAAGGGCAGCGGATCTGCCTCACCTACCCTGATAGCTTGGGAGGAATAAAGGAGAAACAAGTCTCTCTCTCTCTTTTTCTTTTTTTTTTCCTCTAAAGTTTGTTTTGATTATTGAGGCCTGGAGACTTACGGGCAACAGGATACTTCCCCACATGAATTTCAGGTTAAGGAACTCCCTGGAGCGTCCCTACTGTGCATCCTGTGTGGGATGTGCTCTCTGGAAATGCTTTGGTAAGGGAAGAACTCCTTTGCTGGAGGCAGAAGGATTGCTCTGTGCTAAAGCCTCTGTAAGCAGTCTTTTCAACTGGGGCTCTTGAAATCCAGCTGTCAGCTCCTGGTCTGTCCCACTGACACCTGTTGGTGGTCCAGGCCCTCATCCCCTCTGTGCCTCTGTTGTGTGGAGCCAGGAGGAAGGCTGGCAGTGGGGCTCAGAAGCAGGGTTAACAGAAATGTGTCCCCCAGATTGCCAGATGTGCAGAACTGGCTGAATGTGGCACAGTAATTCCTTTTCTCAGAGGTTGATGTGCTGTGTAGGCCCACTGTTGAGAAGCAGCAGCCATGCTATGCACACAATGGCTTGCTTTCTTAGTGATTCCTCTGTCAATCCCATTGTGGTCACGAGTTGCCAAACCACCCATGAGATCATCCATATCCAAACAGCTGGAGCACTGCTGGGCCACGGAGCCCTGCTTGTGCTGGGAGATGGCAATGTCAGCACAGGCTGACTGGAGCCACACGTTCCTGTGTGCCCTGCGTGCTTCGTGCACATGGCTTGGTGGCTGACACCTTGCCTTTCCATAGAGTCTTTATTTTAGACCATTTCCTATATCCACGTCAGCCTGTCTCAGAAATGCTTTTGATGGTGTTTTTAAAGAAATAATTACAATTTTTTTTCTATGCCTTCCATAAATGGTTTAAAATCTTTCTGACAACCCCTCTCAAGACACCTATTTAGTGTCAAAGAGCATAACGTTCCCAAGTTTTAAAAGGCTTCACATAATACTGATCGATCAATGTGCTCCTTGGGAAAATAGCGCTCCAGATGGCCTATCAGGACAGGAATTGCTGGTCACCACAATGCAGAGCCAAAAAGCGTCACTAATGCGGGCTGTTGTGAGGCACGCTTCCTTTGTGGTCCCTTTGAATGTCATAAATGGGGAAGAAAGTGTGGGAAACTCTGAGAAACTCAGGCCCACACTCTGAGGTTAATAGGGGCTTTGTCAGGAGAGTATTCCTGGGCTGTGGGATCAGCATAATAAACAACGTCTTCCCCTGAGGCGGGAATGTGTTGGGGCAGGGGAGCGTAACCCCAGGGGACAGAGGAGCTTTACATTCAATTATTATAAGTGATAATAATTAATAAATTGTAAACATAACCTTTGCTTTGCTGGGAAGGGTGAAACCGGAGGTCTGGCTTTTTGCTCACCAGTAATTGGGGAGGTGAAGCCCACAGGCTCCGGAGCCCAGGAGCAGAAGGGCCCTCGCAGTCCATGGGCCGCCTTCCTCGCGCTGCCCAGCACAGCTCACTGCAGGCCGAGGGTCGGAGCTGCCCCAGCCCCAGGCTGCTTGCTGCCTTAATTGGGTGTGGTTAAAAATACACAGGCGTGGATGAACAGCTTGAGTTTCGTTGGGATGCAGAGGCTTGTACTAATTGACAAAGGCAGGTTGAGCTCAGCAAGGTGGTGACTTCTCACAATCACTAAGCAACCAGCAAAGCTAAGAATAACCCCTCTGAATTATTGTGTATCTTGTTAGGAAAAACAGATCTGTCTCAGCACTGGTATCAGCGCTGGTGAATTGCAGAACGGTACCAGAAACCCATCCTGTACTTCATTGGCAGGTGGATGAACAGCTCTCACCTGGCTTGTGTGCTCTGTGTAAAGTAGGAAGCCATAGAGGCCATGCAGCCATAAGGAGGTAAAGCGAAAGGTTATGAGGTGCTGAGGTGGCAAGGGGTCCATGGCAGGTCAGGTGCTGGCTAGGTGCGGATAGCAGGGCTCGCAAACAGTTTGATTTGATCAGCTTGGATGATCTGAGTTTGACCCATGTGCTCTGTGCCCAGGGACCTGCCCAGGCTGCATGTGGGCATGTGCCTCTGCAAATCCTGCTTAGCTCGGGGCGCCCAGCTGGTGCAAGGCGTGTAGGCAGCCTCCTGTAAATCTCCTGTAAGAGGATATGCCAGATTTGTGTGCTGAATTGAGCTGGGGTGAGAAAAACGAGGGAGGGCCATGTGAAAGAGAGATGGCAGAGAAAGCATCTCTTCTGCAGGAGGGTTGGGAGCACTCTGAAGCCTGTGGGTGTCCTGAGGCACAAACCCCATTCCTGGGGTGTTTTGGACCCCTAGGTAGGAGTCGGGGAAAGAAAAGAAGTAAAGATTATGGGGAAATGGTTTAGGAGGAGAAATACTGTTTTAATCTTGGATTGCTATCGAATTATCTGTCCTTTTAGCCATTGTTTTGTGTGTTACTACCTCTTAATTGGACAGAAAGCAAGGAACTGAGCACAGATTGGTGAGCAAATTAATGAGGGATGAGGAGAAATAAACTGGTTGTGAGATACGTGATTTGCTGAGGTCCAGATAGGTTGCTGTAAGTACCTGGGGCTACACCACTCAGACTGCCTTTTCTCTCACCTCCAGTTTTGGTTCTGATTGCTTCTCCTGGAGATCCTTCTCTGCAGGGTCTGAAATCCTGCTCTGCCAAGTGTAGGTCACAGATGGAAACTGTCCTGGAACGAAGGGCTCGGAAATGGCATCTCTGCTAGCTTCCCCACTGCAGGGGTCTGCCTGCAGCGTTGTGTCCCAGAGCATTATCCATTTTAATCATTTAAAACCAAAGGATTACAGGCCAAAACCATTTTTATTGTATTGTACAGCAAAGACACCAAAGTTGAGCATTGCACAGGATGAATACATCACAACTTTATAAAAGCTTCTTAAGCTCTTTAGCACGTTCAGCCAAATGCTTTATACAGTACTGATTGCCTCCCTTCTTCCCCCACCCGCACCCAAGATATAATACAGGTATTTCCTTTACAAAAGGCATCGATTTTCCCTCCTTGGAGAGCAGCACATACTGGATATTAAGAGAATTTTCCCTACGCTATCTGTTATCATAATAACGATCTGTAAGGAATTGTGCTATGAATAGCATAGGAACTTCAGAAGCATCAGCGATTCTGAATAACATCTTTCACTCAGGAGAGCTCAATGCTGGCTTTATGATACAAAGTACATTCTCAGAAGTGCTCCTTCTTTACGAAGGTCGGGACATTGTCTGCAGACAATGCAGCACTTGAACCAGTGACCCAGGGAGTTCATAGAGAGATTTCCACTGACAGCCGCGGGCTCAGCAGCCAGGAGGGAGGTGGAAGCGAAGGGCTTTGGCTCCAGGTTGCTGCGGAGCTCAGCCTTCTCCTCGGCTCGGAGCCACCGGCAGGAGCAGCAAATCTGCTACAGGATACACACACAGTCCTTCAGTGTGAAGGGAAACTACTCAGCGACCTTCATTTCTCATAACAGAAAAACAAAGCCTTCCCCCTCCCGCCTTTGGAAAGCAATGTTTCCTACTTTGAAGAGGGATTATTAAATCACAAGTCCCTCTATTTTTTTTTTTTTTCTTTTTAGCAAAACATAGGAATAAAGCAAAGTTCATCAGCAGGTCTACCAGGGTCTCCAGATCATATGAGCTGCTGCTGCAGTTTTCTGGGCAGGCTGCTTTCTGGCAAACACACAGGGTGATCGAGGTGCACTGCGTGTGGCAGGAGAGCGTGTGATGTCTGCACCCGTCTGAGCTTTGCAGAAGTGCTTGAGCAGCTGGGCCTGAGTTTCCTTCCTGGGTTCATAGTAGGATAGAAAATGCATCGCTTCCTTTAGGCACCGCAGGTATCCGCTGTTGAAGTCCTGCTCTGGGTTCTTGTGAATGAATGCTAGAAAAGCAAAAAAAGCAAACAGAGTGAATTAAGATTGTTACCCAATGGGCAGTGGCAGCTTGTGCTTGAAGCTTCTATCGGGAGCCTGAGTCTGTGAGCCTTGACTGTGGGCCTTGGTCTGGGGGGGAGCAACCAGGGATTTCTGGGACAGTAGATGCCCATGGCAGCATGTGATGTGATGGTGCTGTGTGCTCACCTGGCTCCTGCAGCTGGCTCTGCTGCTTCAGGTAGCTGACAGCCACCTCCAGGACATCGGCTTTCTCGAGCTTGGAGTTGGGTTGGTGTCTCTGGAACTCTTTCTCCAGCAGCACCTTCAGCTGCTCAATGCTGCTGTTAATCCGGTCACGGCGCATTTTCTCCACCACCGGCTTCCTGAGCTGTAAAAGAAATGCAGCACTTATTAGAGATTTTCTGGGGCCTGACCTACTTCGCCTTTTGACCCATTCCTTGGTACACACAAAGTTCAAGGACACTTTCTTTTGGTGGGAGATCTTTGCCATGCTGCATACCTATTATTCACATTCATTTTATATTTTATCCCATTTGTATTCCCCAAGACCATCTTCTCCCTCCTTCTTCATCTTTTTCCACATAATGCTTGTTTGGCAGAGGCAGTGCCTTGCACAGAGCACAGACCAGTCCTGACCAATGTGATCCTGTCAAGGGCTTTACTTACTTTATTCTTCTCTTTTGGCAGCAGTTTCTCATCCATGTGGATCATGAGTGTGTTATTGGGAGCCATTCCAGGTGCTGTCAGCCCTGGGCGCAGCCCGTCCACGTGGGCTGCTGTGCTGAGCATGAGGCTGTGCTCTGGCAGTGTCTGACCACCTCTATTTATACACCGAAGCGTTTAGCAGATATGTGAGTCTCGAGGTTGCTGGTGTTTCCCACAGCCATTCAGCCAATCCAGGCACACAGCTGAACAATAGGGGAAGCATCCATCAGTGCACGGTGCATTGATCCTAAATGCCCTGGAGAGAATAACCTTCTGCCCACACCGACTGGTGGAGTGTGCAGCCTGGCTTTGCTGGGCTGCCCAGGGATCTGGGAAAACACTGACCCTCCAGCTGGTTGTCTGCGCTCAGTAGCGTTCCTGAGTCCCTGCATGCGCCAGTCACATTTGTGGAGTGGAGGAGGCACGCTTTTGGGGGAAGGTAGGAGAGGAAGGCGTGGAACACTGGTAGGGTGCAAATCAACAGCACCAGGGACATCTTGTTACTCTTTCTGAAGAGCACACTTCCCAGCCAGCCTCCTAGCTGCAGTGTGCCGGGACATGAGTGCATGTTTGTGCTTCTCCATGCAGTCATTGCACTTTTTTTTGCTGCAGTAATGAGTGAACTGATGTGTTATCAGGGTGAAACAATGAGTTTGTTGGCTTAGCGTGTCTAAATGCTGTGGAGAGTCTGAAGTCAGGTGGTAGGATGGTGGATAGCTGAATAAAGAGGAAATGGGAATCCAGTGGAAATTGTAACCTCTGTTTGCCTCTTTCCCATTGACACACTGGGACCATGACCCTGTTGGGACAGCACTGCATGGCTTTTTTTACAGACAGGCATGTGCCTCCTGGCAGAACTGGCCCGGTCACCCCATAGCTCTTTCTTGTCCCTTTTCTATCCTTCTTTCGTAGAGATTCGTTCAAGCATGATGGTTGGGATGAGCTAAATAACAGCACCAAGTTCAATCCCAGAGCTCCAGGCTTGAGCAGGCAGAGGCAGGTTGTCCAAGGGACTGAGTAGCCAAGGCCAATCTCCAATTCTCCTGCTCACCTGAGATTTGAGGCATGACATCTTCTCATCCCACCTAGGAGCGTCCTTGCGCTGCGGCAGGCTGGACCTGCCAAGAGAGTTCAACCAGCACACTGCTGACCTTTACCATATCAGCTCCACTCAGTTTTCTCATCTGGAAGATGGAGATAGTGCTTCTTGCTCTTATGTGCATGAAACATTTCACCAAAAAAATAAGCAAATATTATTTTGTGGCAAAGGCAAGAAAATGAATTAATTTTTGTGGTCACTTCAGATGAACTCTGATTTTGTCTGATTGCAGGGTGTATTGAGGCAACACTGAAAACCATCTAAAGCTGCTGGAGCAAAGTTGTGCTGTGTTCCATTGCCTGAGGCCTGGCCTGCAGGGGCAGAGGTGTGCTCATCTCCTAGTGTGCTGCTTGTGCGTGGAGTATGCCTGAGGATCTAGAAGTGGAAACGGCAGAGGGAAGCATGTGTGAGGTAAGACAGCCAAGGACAAATTCTTATTTGGAAGTCCTTAAGTGAAGCCCAAGTTTAACAAGAAGTTGACAGGAAGGAGGGAAGTGTTGCTGAAATAGCCAGCTTCATGGTTTTCATTGTATGGGCCTGAATGGGCTTAGCTCTTTGTTAAGGGCAGATGTTGTCTTCAGAGCCCTTTATTCCTGTGTTGTGGGAAAGCCAGGAGACAAGTCATCTCATGAACACTTTGAACTGGTCAAAGGATTATAGTACAAGATAAGATACAGCTCAGAGACCATGCCATAGCTTTTGCCAGCTGTCATAAGATGTTCCCCTTTGTTCTGTAGCCTTTGAATGGACTTCCTCCAAAAGTTGGTGTCCTGTATTCTCCCTCCTAGCAAGTGAGCACTGGTGTCAGGCCTTGAAGCTAGGAGGTGACAGGTAAGCACGTACCCAGCTGGTTAAATTTAAGAGACTCTTCAACGTCAAAGAACATCTTTTTCCTGACTCCTGAGAAGCAGGCCTGACCTTTATTGCTGTCTTATAACTGATAGCCAGATGGTCTTTTGGGAGTTGGATTCTTTCCCTTTAAATCATTCAGGTTCAAGCACCATCACTAATGTTGTGAGTAGTTGCAAGGCACACTTCTATTGTCCCTACAAGAAATGTTATCAATAGGGGAAAAGTATGGGAAAGGCAGAGAAATTCAAACCCACACAGCCTGGTGCTAATAACTCCTTTGTGGAGCCTGTGCTTCTGTCAGGGCACTATGAACTCACAAGGCTTTTTCAGTGAGTAAGGCTGAAAAGCTCATGTTTTGCTGTGCAGGCAGCAGTTACTCAGGAATCTGTTTACTAGGAGAAAGGGGCGAGGTGGGGCGGGGGGGCAGGGATGCTGTTTCACACTCAGGGGTGGCTGTAGGAGTACTGAGCTCAGCTGCAGCCCTGGCTGGTTGGTCTGCTATGCTGTGCCTCAGGGTGCTCTCTTGGGAAATGGGAGCTGTGCTACTGGACGTTTTGACAGAGCCCTGTTAGGAACTGCCATGGGTGCTCGAGAGCCCTTGAGCTTTCCTGACAGAAGAGGCATTGCTTGGGAGTCCTGACAAACTCCTGTGAGAGCAAAGTGGAGAAGGAACAGTTCTGGGGACAGAACTCTGCAGGCAGGAGCGTGCGGGGCACGAGTTTGCACCACAGGGTACTGTGTTTGAGAGGAACCTCAATGTGGCATTATCATGTCTTCTTTAATCACAGCCCTGGCAAAAAACTGTCTTTAATTACTGTAAAATACATTCTTTACATGTTTAACCTCTTGAATTAGTTTTTCTTTAGATCCTGAATACTTAATGTACTGTTATTCCCAGGTGCATAAGTGGTCTTTTATCATTAAGAAACATATGAGACAACTTGATCTGCATTTTCAGGGTTGTTAGAGGCAAAAGCAATTTCTGTAGCTGCTTGTGTGGCTGACCCTGAAATAGTCATACACCCAATGACATAGTCTTTCTATAATGAGTATTAAAAATAATTAAAAATTAAGGAGAATTTATTATTTTTCTGCCCAGCTGAAATTCCCACAAGTTACCTCTCAGCATATTCAAGAGCGCACAAGAGGGATTTATTATTTCCTGGTATATTGACTCTGAAAGGTCTGGGGATTACAGCTGCTTTGCACATGAATAGCTGGAGTGTGTTGTACAAAAGGCACGGTCTGTGGGATAATGGGGTTGGATGTGGGAAAGCGCTGACCCTAGGGGAGAGCAGGCTGGTGCCTGATGGCAGGAATCAATTATGTCTCAAAGGAACACATTGCCCTGGGAGCAGGCTTCGCGGGAGCCACCATGTTATGTATTTATCACCCTCCTTCTCCAGCAACCCATATAAAACAGTCACAGAAAATATCCTATCCTTCTGTTTTTGCTAGGGGACTCAGCTACACCTTGCTCTGTAATTACTCTCTTAGTGATCTGTTGGTTATGATCTCAGGAACGAAATGGTTCCCATCTCAGAGAGAGTGCTGAGACCAGCACTTAGCTCACACATGCCGCCAGTTTTGAGACTGTAAAGCATCCCAAATTTTGGTGAGTGAATTCAGTGCACTCTCCAAAGCCCTTAGGAACACCTGGAGCCCAGCAGTCACCTGCTCAGCTCCAGCCAAGGGAGGGGAGCAGCCTGTTGCTGCTGCTGAGCTCCTGCACTTCCTTGGCTTTGTTTTTGGAAGATAGTGCTATTCAGTTTTTACATTGATCTGTCATCATTGCTAACCTTTCAGATGTCAAAATTTGGGTTTCAACAAATGATTAAACGGGATAGAAAGTCATAGGGATTTAACAAAACTTATTTGATAGTTACAATAAAAGTAGAAGTATTTTAATGGATTTTTACTTACCATTTGAACTGTGCTTGCATTGACATTGTTTGTTTTTTCTCTTTGCCAGAAGACTGGCAGAGGGACACATGCAGGAACTAACTGCACATAAGGTAGAGTTGTTGCCCTCATCATTATGTCATAGTGCAAGGCACATTGTCAGACCTCAGGATCAAGGGAATCTAGTGCAACAGGAAGTTTCTGACCCTAAAGGAAAAGCAGTATAGAGGGAGTTGCAAGTAGGACTGGGACCGTCAGAACACCACCTTGTGTAGCTGGCAGCATGCACTTGTGCCCATGAGCATTTGCAGCTTGAGGTTGTGAGTAGGAATTAGACAAGAAGCCCTAAGAGCTGCTGCAGGGGTCTGTCTGTCCAGACACCTTTTGCTATAGACAGTGGTCAGCATGTAACACCAGCCACACACAGACAGCACTGAGTTGTTCACTACAACAGTATGGATCCTTCTGCATTTCTGAGCCCTGGTTTCATCCAGCCCAGCTGCCTAAGACCTGAAATTCTCTTATAAACTCTGTTCAGCTTCTTACAGAGAGTTGATGTAATTCAGGGCACAGTGTATCCTCTCTTCTGAGGATTTTCTGAGGTCCCAGAATAGCTGTAACTGCTGGGAAGCAGCTGGATGAACTGAGTGGTGCTGACAGACAGCTCTGCACTACGACTGGGGACAGCTGCAGTTTAACACTGAGGTTTTGGTAGGTCTCTAGGAACATGAATAAACAAATTAATTTCAATATTAAATCTTAATTTACTTTCCAAAGAGATCAAGCCCATTTCTATTGTTTTGATCATTAACTATTTCCTATTGAGTGCATTTTCCTTTTCAGCTATTTTGTTGGTTTGAACAAATTGTACTGAATCACATTTGCAAAAGCCACTACTGAACTTGCGTGCAAAGGAGAACTTTTGCATCTGCTTAGCTAGGAGGGGCACTGCTCCAAGTGTGGTCCATGCAGGTAATCCCTATTCTCCCATAAGCTGGGGTGCTGGCAGCTATTCAGAGATAATAAAGCCAATTAAAACAAAAGTGGGTTCTGAACATCTTTGCAAAACAGAAGTCTAAAATGAATTCTGTTTTAGACCACTAGACTTCAGCTAGGCTGAAATACTGAAATTTTGGTTTCTCCTTTCTGTCTCATTTTCTACCTTTGCAAAAAACTTTGCTAGTAATACATTCTTATATTGTAGAGGAGGTTGCTGAGATTCATTAGTTGGTATTTGTAAAGCACTTTGAAAAATGCAAAGCCAGTGCATTATTCTTGGTCTTGTGGATGCTTTCCATGTTATTAAAAACAGGATTTCAGAAAGGCTTATAGGGGATCAAAACAGCATCCCAAACTTGAAAGGAAGCACGACTGTTAAACCATCAACTGTCGCCTCCCCCTCCAGCCAGATGTTAAGCCCTAAAGAACTGAAGTGGCACAAGGAATTACTTTCCCAAGTTCCCCCAGCTGGGCTGACAGGCCTTGATCAATGGTTTTCTCCACTGTGAGTGCTATGCAGATGGTCTACCCAGAGCAAGGTTTCTGTGAAGTACAAAAGGAAGTCAAACACCATTTCTAATTCAGCTTGTAGCATGGCACACTTCCTTTATCCTCTGCCTGAATGCAGTGAATAGGAGAGCAGTGTGGGAAACTGGAAGGGACTCCAAACTCACACAGTCTGAGTGGCTGTAAGACACTCCTGTCCTCAGACCACATCTGCCTGTGACAGACGGGAAAAAGAGTGACAGAACGAAAAATCAGATTATAAAAACCTGCTTGAAGGGGAAAATTAGGTCTGAGTAAAAGGAAGAAAGTGAAGAAAACCATGCAGAGAAACAGAAATTGTGACAGCCCCAAGCAGGGGACTGCCAAACAGCAGAGTGAGGAAGGGCTGGGAGCAAATGGCTGAGGAATGAGCTGCAGGAGCAGAACCTTGCTCTTCCACCAGTAAGGCCAAAGGGAATTGTCCCTCTGAAGGCAGCAGAGGTGGTTTCAGCTCACACTGAGACTACTGAGCCACATGTTCTGTCTTGCCTCCTTACTAAAGACTGGCTTGCGCTTGATAAAAAAATGTTTGCCATAATGATTGAAAAAATAAATACAGCACATTGCCTGTACTGGTACAGCAGGGCACTGCTCCCTAGTTCCATGTGTCAGTCAGCAGCCATTCCTTGAACAAGCTTGGAAATGCTGAGCTTTAAAACACAACCAGTGTAGGTTACATTCAGTAACCCATCATCAAAGCTTTGGCATTTTTGCACCTCTTTGCTGCACAGCACTCAGAGCAAAAGATGGTTCCTCTGCACCGTGAGGATCCGTACACTCACCCAGGCCTTAAGTTACCTGAAGAGTGGTGACTACTTTGTGCAGATGTCATGCTGGTGCTCGTCAGAGATCCCCAAGGGAGCTGCATCTCAGCTGAGGCATCCATGTCTGCAGCCCCCTGATGTGTATTCAGTTTTTGACCACAAACCACAGGAGCTGAGCTTGGCTACTACGAAAATTATCTCAGATTTTATATCAGTAATTCTATGGGGAAGCTCTTCGTTAATACTTCTAAGCTGTAATGGGGTGGTTCAAGGAACAAAACAGGGAACAGACCACATTCTAGGACTGATATTTGACGGGAAAATTAAGGCTCAAATTCTGCTGATTAGAATTTGGATGAATTCCTCTGTAGGTGGAGGGATAATTGTGCACAAAGAGATGAGAAAGGGGCTTTGGAGGTACAAAGCCTACAGGCTGAATGCTGCAGTCTGCTTTGCTCTTTGTGGAGGCCAGAGTTCCTGTTGGCTTTAGTGAGGACCCAAATAGTTCCAAAACCTGGACCTGTTCTATTTTTTAACCTTACTATGATTTTCAGGACAAAGCACTTAATGAGGTCTCCAAAATTTTGCTATCTTTCCTGTTCTCTGAGCCGTTGCTCTCAAGCATTTTGGCATTCTCAATGACTTTCTAACATACTGCCATGGAAGTTTGCGTACCTCGAAGTTTCCCACACCATTTCTTAACTATATTCATTCCTGTCACAAAGGAAGTGTGCCTGACTACAAACCGCATTAGCAACGGTGCTTGCCTCTGCATTGTGTTCAGTGGGAAACCCTGCTCCCAAAAGGCCATCTGGGCTGCACGTATCAGGAGAGAAGCAATGGGGGCAACGAGCATCAAGACTTGGGAAAGCAGCAGCATCCTTAAGTCTTCCTACAGAGCTAACATCTGGCAGAGGTTCTGGGGCATTACTCATGCCATATTTCAAACATCCACATCCAGTATCTTGGGATCCTAGTAAGTTCTCTGTCCAATATTGTGTGTGTTTGGAATCATAGTAAAAGGTGTATAATTGAGAATTCATGATCCTTAGTGTAAAGTCCACTGGTTCTGTTAGCATTATTCTAGGGCTGATGATAATTATTATTGCTTTCTTATTCTTTTTTCACTTGTGCCATTTGTTGCAGCAGTGAGGTAAGGCAGGGGGCTGCAGCAGCTGTCCTGGTGCAAGCAGCAGCAGCCCCACTGGGCTCCTCTGCCCGCTCTCATGTACCCTTCTTCAGCAGCACAGAGCAAACCCCCCAGCACAGCAGGAGCTCACTCATGTGGCAAGAAAGACGAGGGAGACCAAGAGACCCAAGTCACACATCTGCTCTGCTATGGGAAGTTCATATGTCCTCCCCCAGAACAAAAGTCCTGCAGTGCAGCAACCCTATAATGCACACGTTCCTGAGAACCTGATTTTCAAAGTTCTGTGCTGTGGGTAGTTGCAGAGAGGGCATCTGACACTGACCACCTGTGTAAGGCTAAAACTGGAGTGCCTGTTTGAGCAACTTGCACTGTGAGAGGAAGTGATGACTCTTACATCTGTCTACTAGGAGTTAGTCTGGGAAACTGAAGCTGTTTCTAGCAAAATTGCTAGCGGACCCTATTGATCACAGCATTGCCACATTTATTCCTTGTGCACTTGTCAATGAGCTCAAAAAATGAGTTGGTGCTCAGGAGTTTCTCTTTCAGAGAATCTCCCCAAGAGGAATGCACAGAGAGAGAGATTGGTTTCAGAGGTGGCATTACATGAGCTCAAAGATAATCCACAAGCTTTGAGGAGAACATGTGAAATGGTGTCACAAAAACTTTCCCACAACTTGACATAAAAGACTCAGAGCCCAACAGCTGCTGCTCTGTACGCAAAGAAGGGAGCCTATTCACCAACAGTACAATGGGGATGGAACAGCAGATCCTGGAAGAGGTCATTTAAGCCTTACCTGGGTGAACAAATACATGAGTTGCAGGGTCAGAGAGAAATGTAGACATGTGTTTATGCATTCACATTAAAATACATGCATGATCACATATATGCATGCATCAGTATAGAGATGAACACACAAACTGTATTAATGTAGACACAGTATTTATGTAGTACCCTCCCTGATTCAGTAAGAGATCCCCAGCCATAATCCCTAGCAGTACTTTACAGTTGTTTATCTGACAATTCACATTCCCATGTCGCTACTTGCAGAGGGATACACTGAAGCTCACATAAAGGGGAGCTGAACTGATGTGATTGCAGTGCACACCTGGAGCAAATTGGGGGCTGACACAGCTCAGATGTGTGGTTCATGGTCTGCTCTGCCCCTCTGCAGCCTTTCTCTTTGCAGGTCTTGGGTGCATGTGTAGAGAATGCAGAAAACACTGCTACCATTCCCTGCGGCTGTTTGTGTGTGGCTGGAGCTCATAAATAAAGCATTTGTTTATAGGATGCAAATAGCAGCACCATTAACTCTTTTTGAACAGAGACTTTGCAGTGCAAAATAATGAGGAATCCAAATCTTGACTTCTAACAGTTCTATGGGCTATGTGAATTTGTTCTGCGCTCATTTGTGCATGAATTAAATGAAAGCATCATGAGAGACTGAGCTGATCCCCAAACTCAGATATTTCTCCACTTGGATTTATCTTGTAGATGTTTGAACAACACTGGGTGCTTGTGACAGGGCTTGAGAGTATTCCAAAGAGGTACATAAGATCTCAAGGAAAGAGAACAATTATCAAAATAGAAACTTTTCTGGATAACTGTGCGTATTTACATTTAAAGGTATTTGCAGTGAGGCAGACTGAAAAAACTGTTTTCTGTTTCACTTGGGCAAAACTGGTGTGCCCCTGGCTTACTGTGAGAACAAGGCAAACGGCCTTAAAGAACTTCTGCACTTTATCTCAGGAAGCCAGAAGCTGCTCATGTGTGCACTGCATTAGTGCACGCTCAGCGTGTGCCTCCTGCAGCCCGGGAGGAGCGCGGCCGCACGCAGCCGGCACGGGGGGCTCATTGCCCTTCATGGCTGCTGGCCGCCTCCTTCCTGCGCACCCGTGGCGGCCGGCCTGTGCTGGGAATGCCACTGATCTCTGGCATTAGTCAGCAGCCTTTGCCCATTGAAGGCCAGTTCTTTCCCAGCTTCTGACACGTAATTCTGATCCCGGTCTTTCACGTACCACGCACTCCCCACCTGCTCATCTGGGGGAAGGTCATTATCCCCAGGCTATTCACTGGCACTGGAGCATGCAAGAATAGATGCTTCTGTTATTGTGCTGCCTATCTCTCTGATTGGCCATAGAGTGTGGGAAACTCCGCCAAGCCGCAGACCCACAGACTCTCAGGAAGGCTGCACAGTATAAATACAGGGCCGAGACAGCTTCCAGCGACACATTTCTCCTGGACTTCCACTCTGAGACACACCTTCCCTTCTCGGGACAGATGGCTCCCAGTGTTGTTTTCGTGGAGCCTGACAACCTGCTGACACCAAAGGAGAAAAACAAAGTAAGTCCAGACACGGTGAGGCAGCTTGGAGCCAGCCATGCTCTCAGCTGTTCTCATAGCAGTTTCCAAAAGCTGAGAAACTGGTCCACATTGTTTAGGAACAGTGTGAAATGGCAGGGAGGAGATCTAATAGTGAGCCTCTTTCCCTTTGCTTTTTACAGCTCAGGAAGCCAGTGGTGGAGAAAATGCGCCGTGACCGGATTAACAGCAGCATTGAGCAGCTGAAGGTGCTGCTGGAGAAAGAGTTCCAGAGACACCAACCCAACTCCAAGCTGGAGAAAGCTGACATCCTGGAGATGACTGTCAGCTACCTGAAGCAGCAGAGCCAGCTGCAAATGAAGGGTGAGTAACAAGTTTACTTCAGCCTCTATTTTACTATAAATCTGTGACAATTCTGTGAATCTCTTGCCATGAACAATTGCTCTAAACTACTTTTTTTTCCCCCCTCCCTCTTTCTTTCCTTCTCTAGCTTCAGGATTCTTCCATAAAAGCTCTCAGTTTGACTTCAGAGATGGCTATTCTCGGTGTTTGCAAGAAGCTTTCCATTTCCTCTCTCTTCATAAAGTCCGAACTGAAACACAGACCAAGCTCCTAAGTCACTTCCAGAAGAGCCAGTCCACTGCTCCAGAAGTTTCCTTTTCCCCCAGCAAGCCCAGCACTCTGAAGCAAGCATCGCCAAAAGACGCTGGTACTCTCTGGAGGCCCTGGTAGTCAGGGAAGCTCTCCCTTAGTGAACCTTTGCCTTTTAGAGTCCAGAGGAAGAATCTGACTGCATCCGATAGTCCAGCTCTGATCCTCTCTTCTGTAGGGTGCATTATTTCCCCATATACTTTATTTATGTGTGAAAAGAATGGTGCGCTTTTGGCTTTTATGGGATCCTTTGGCAAAAGCTCAGGCATTCTGTTGTGTGGTATTGAAGCTGTGTAGGTACTGGTGATACAGAGCACAGTGTGTTGCCCAGTTTGGGGGCAAATGTCTTCCAAATGAAGGAGGATATTTTTGTAGAAGTTACATTTGTGATGGGCAAGAATTGCAGTAGGAGAATTTCCCTAATATTGCATGTTAGAGCCATTGGCTTTGCTCTGGTTTGACTGGTAGCTCTTGTTTGCTCAGTCACTCTGGAGGATAAATGTGCAACTTCAGTTCATGCACACTTAATTAAACTCCATTTCCTCCTATTTGCTCATAACTTGTACTGCATGAAAGGCAGTTTTTGCTTTGTCTTGGATTTTTCTTCTTTGATAGTCCTAGCACATAAAGTGTGATGGATGAACTGAAGCTAGGAAACTATGTGGAATATTTCTACTATTTTGCTGCTTTTTTCGATTTAGAAAAATAATGTGTTACTGCTTTATGTTAAAGAAAAGAGTAGATAAAATGCTCAATTTGTCAATGTTATATATTTGGGGTGTAAGTTATGCTTTTTCTAGCATCTTCATTATAATAATGATTGTTTGTCTGTATTAAGTGGTGTAATTCATGGTGGATGGTGTTTCTCCCATTCCTGGGACAGCCCTACGGCTTACATGCATACTGTGTATGCGTCTCTGTGTTTGTAGAGAGAAATAAAATGCATTTGTGTGCAACTTTTCTCTGGGTTCTCTGTGCTCTGTGCGATGTGTAGCCATTTGGGTCCCTGGCAAGCACTCACATGTCAGTCTTCCAAAGAAGGGGTGTGTTTTAAAGTTAAAGGAGCTCCTGTTCATGTCTACTCTATATATTTACGTGACTGCATTACACCTTTACCCCCATGAGGTAAGCAATCGTTACTTATTCTCTTACCTGAATCATATAGAGCTCCTCCTTACGCTCTGCCCCTCCCAAAACCTCACCTGAGTGGTCAAGCCTTAAACCTGGCCATCTGGTTCCCCTGCTGGCAGCAGCTGGGATCTGAGTGTCCTGCAGTTTTTTCACCTGACGCTGATAGGATACGGCCTTGATCACATCAGTGCTGTGTGTCCTCTAATGTCTTCTCCTCATTTTTTCTCTGAGCGCTCAGAACGTGGAATACAGGTGCTTCTGAAGCAGCACCGTGGTTCACAATGGGAAACATCCACAGGCAGCCCTGCACCTGCCAAACTGCTCAGTGCCTAGTCCTATTCTGTGGCAAAATACTGGTCAATACTGATCATGGTAATAAGGCTGTGCTTATGCAAGAAATGTTCTTAGGTGAAATTTGTAAAAATCAGTAAAGTTAATGTGGTAGTTCTGCAGCCTGTTTGTTTTGGCTAGAGATCCATAATCAAGTTATGTTAGCAAGAAATCTCACGTTCCCTACCTGTGCAGGTTTTCATTTGTTATGACCAGGAATGGTTTGTTCTGCCACATGTTATCACTATTTTATTCTGTCTATGCTTTTTAGCACAGCAGGGGATGCAGGGGCTGTGGCAGGGGTTGCTGCCAAGTGTGGTCTCCTGCACTCTCTTACTCTGGAGTTCTTGGCAGTAGCTTTGTAAAGTCAGACCTTAGATCCAGCCCTGCATGTGGTTACTGTGATGTAAATAGTACCAGAAGTGGTGGCAGAAGGGATTAGCTTGCAATGCAGAAAACATTCTATGTAAATTTCTGTAGTCGTGCGTAGCTTCGGAGTATTTATTATGTAGAAGGCTTTATTGCAAAACCCTCAGTCAGCGCTGCTGTCGGATTGCAATACGAATGTGGAACTTCAGCCCTCGGACAGCTTGCCAGTATTGCACCGTTTGGCCACCAGGGGGCGCAGCGCTCGCGGAAAGCCCTCCATGGGAGCCGTCGGCTCGAGGGGTTCTGCGAGGTACCGGTGTGACTGCCGGCGTTTGTTCCATTTTAGTGATCGGATGTCAGCCAGTGCTAGGAAGTCTTTTCCACCTCCCAGTTTCTGTGTATCACACTGTAATTGTATGCGAATACGAAAAGCTTGGATCTGAATTTGTACCCTATTGGGCACAAAACATTTCCAGCACAACACACACAGAACCGTCGTACCAGCATCACTGCGAGCGTGTGTGCGATGTACGTGGAGCCTGAAAGCGCTTGCAGATGTGCAACGTGTCTTTTGGTCTGTTGGAGCTGGAGCTTCATTTGCCACCAGGTGGCAGCATGGGAGAAGGGAAAACTTCATTTTCCCACAATGGAAAACACGGGATTGGAATTTTTCTAGGTGTGTAACAAAGCTGCTCTGATGCTTAAATACTCAGGAATATAAAATGGAATCAGCTCTGCAGCTAAACACCTTTGTGAACAGATTTTTGTCCATTAGAATGATGTAATTTCTGCAGAGTTTCTGCCCAGTTATGTATGTTTGTCCACTAGCTCAGCTTTGCTTGAGATGCCATGGTTGGGATGAGGGGTGGCTGCAGTGGGGCTGCAGAGGACAGACACGAACATGTTGCACATGGCCTAGCCTGGAAACAGCTACAAATGATAAAAGTAATGCTGGGTGTGAGTGGCTGACAGGTCCTATTGGTTTGAGAAGGGCAAATATGTGGGTAAGTACTGTGTCTGAAAGCTCTGTGGGTTAAAACATGCATCTTGTTGCTTCCTGGAGTGCGTGAACCCCATTTCAGTAGTGAAAGCTCTGGGACATTGGGCATTTCTTTAAAAAAATATTATAGCCCTTGCTTTTAGACCAATTTTGTTCTTAACAGTAAATACATTACTTCTCTGTGCAGGTAGAGAAAAAAAGATGATCACACTCAGGGCTTCCCAGGTGACGGTGTTCCTTTGAAAACAACTGAATAGTCATCACAGCTCTACATGTGCTGAAGAAAGCATGAAACCTCAGGTAGGAGCATGTGTCCCTCAGTCAGGGGCTCTGGCTGGGCCATGCTGTCTCCTTGCTCTTTCTGGTTCATGCTCTGTTGCTTATGTTGTGTAACACTATGAGTGATGACTAGATTTTTTTGTCTGCATGTGTTTTTGTTGTTTTTTTCCCCAAAACTTGTCTAGAGACTGCCAGCCAGACACTACCTCAGTCTTTGTTCAGACTTATCTGTCCAAAATACTGTGGTATGCCAGGCTTCAGATTGTAAGGAGTTGTTGAGACTGCTGAAGCAGTGCTCTCCAAACTTAGAAGGGAAAAATAGCAGCTTGTTAGATTTTGTATACATATTCTGTATTACTCCTTCTAAAGACATTCTTTGCACATGATTATGTACCGTATTCTGCTGCCTGCACTGATTATATTCCATGACAAAGAAGCACAGTGGTCAGTAGGTAGTGCCATTCTCTAGTTAGCTTATAGTTACTCTGAGCTTACATCTGTTCTTGTTTCATGAAGGTCACTGGTAGCTCTCAGGATATGGGGGGCTGTAACTGAAGAGGGGAGATGTGACTGCAGTAGGGCACGTGTGGGTCTGTAATGGGAAGTCGTAGCTTATGCTCTTGGGTTGTGCTGGCAAAGGCACAAAGTGACAGATGGAAAGATTCTTCTGCAGGTGGGAGGCATAATAAACTTACATGAAAAAATATAGTAACTTCCATGTGCTGAAATAATAATTTGGAATGAAACCTCCCAGGCATATTTTAATTATCCCTTTAGCACTTGCATGTGCCAGAACTTTTAATGGCATATCTCCAGAGCTTAATGATTTTGCAGAGTAATTAAATTGTCAGCCATGTGAACCTCCTCCACCTGACCTCTGCACAGTTGTATGCTGTTTCCCTTGCTTGGCATATATATATGGTTGTCATTTGCCTGAGTTTCTCAGTAGGAAACAACTTCCTAGCAATCAGTATCAGACAGTTTCATAGTCCCTCTGCTAAGACTTAAGTGAATGAATATAAAATAATTCTCTAGGCCAAAACTGCTGTATGAATGTAGTAACAAATGACAGTAGCTTGTACTTTCACATAGCAATTACATGCAAATCTGGCTAGCCCCAGGACCACTTCTGATAACTGTATATTTAGACTGTAATATTTGTAGTAAACTTACAGCTGTTACAGGCTGGGTAAAGCTGTTAATAGCACTGTATTACTGCTCGTATCTTTAGCAGACTCTTTTTTTTGTAACTTAATTTTTTTGCTCCTGACCATGCAAGTCTATAATCTGTCCCATGAGCAAAACACCTTCCCAGCACATTAGGAACATACTGGGATAAATAACCTGCTCCCCAGTGACAGTTACTTTTGTGTTTCTTGCAATGCCATTGAGAGGTCTTCGTATTCTTGTTTTTCATTACCTGATGTAATACCAAAGCAAAAAAGAAGCCACTAAAGACTGTTGGTTCTTTTACTGCCTGTTTGTGGTAAACTTGCCTTTTTGCATTAATAATTTTGTATGCTAGTTGCAAATACAACTAAGTACTCTGTGTAACAAGCTAAGGTGCCAAATTCTATCCATGAATTTGTGATACTGTTCATGTTAGCAATCAACTCTATGTGTTGGTTTCTTGTGGGTTTTTTTTTTCTTCACATATTGTCTCTTGGATTTTACAATAGAAGTTTTTAAAATTCCTCAAATTTTCATGCACAAGGGAAGAGGTTTTATTGCATGAATATGAAATTTAGCTTTACTGTGTGGCGTAGAAAATCCGAGTAAGTGAAGATGGACAAAATGCAGTTAAATACAGTTTATTTTTGCCTGCCACCATACACAAATTAAATTACAAAAGCTGATGTATCAGAGCACTTGACTGTCTTGTAACCAGACATGTTATGTTGAAAGAATTGAACGCTTTCAAATAGGAAACAGTAGGCAAATGATCTTCCTGTGAAGCATCAGTTTTAGATGTGATGAGAAAGGTTAACCTCACTTCCTGGTCAGGACAAAGCGTGGACAGCATTTCATTCTAAGGGGGGGCTTGGTCATGTTGATAGCTATATAGGTAACACCTGAGAAAAATAAAGCCTATTACAAGTGCAATTCAATCTAGGACTTTCATTTATCTAGCTATCTACCTATTTAGTGGAAAGGACTCTTGGAGCTCGTTAGTGCACTCCTTGCCTTTTTTTTTGTTCTTAATTGTTTGGAGTGTGAGTCAATCCTAATGTTTTCAGGCACTTACATGTTTGAATTCCCACTGAAAAATCATCTCTTCCTCTTACTTACCTGCCTTAAATCTGGCTCTTTGTCAGAATCTGTGCTCAAGTGCACTTCTCCTCAGTTGGCTGACATAGCTTTAACACAAAACCTAATATGATCTGGATTGCATCACCTGGAATAGATCTCCATACAGAGTCATCTGAGGTGCAACCCAAAAAAGAACTGGATATGAAGCAATTTTCCTCTTAACTGAGGTGAAAGCCAAACTTCATGCTTTGTGTGCTACTTGTTTGCAGTAGGCAATTCTATGGGCTGAGCAGTCTGTTCTTCATCTTTTGAAGAGAGATTAAATAAATAAACCTGGAACTAAACCCTATGTGACTGCTTACTGCCTATTCTGTACTGAACTCTGGGACTTTGAAGGGCATGGACGAGTGGTTAATCCCTGAGGTAGCACTGATTCTCTCAGAAAGTAATCTTCTAAAATTACTTTCCAGATAGAAATAAAATGCAATTGAACTATGTATTCTTAGCTATAAATACAATTTACCTGTAACTCGATTTCACTTTAGTAGGGGAAACTAACATTCATAAAAGAATTTGGAGGACTTTACTCAGTGACTTAGCCTGCTCTTATTGTCACATGGGCCAAAGCTGCTTCTTTTATGGGACTTTCATTTCTTTCCCCATCACTTAGATAATCAAACCTTTTGTTAGTCATTTGCAAACAAAATTTGTGAAGCAAACAAATAGTGTGATTTGGCACTTCACAAGCTAAGCGCCAGCAGTTAATATCTTGCTTTCCAGTGATTCCTCTGCTAGAAAGAAAAACATTTGCTGGAAGATTAATTAAAATGTATTAAATATTCACATTTTAAAATATCATCATTGTATTAGAACACCAACTGAAGGTCACCCAACTACTTCTATATCAAAATCCTTGCTGAATTGGCTATTGCGTTGTATTTTTTTTAATTAAAAATAATGATATTACATTCTTCAAGTGTAAATACTGTAAAATAGACTATGGCAAAATGAAAAGGCACAGAATTAAAACAACTTAATTGTTTCCACTTTCACATTTGCTATTTGCCCAAAAGTATTTTATACACTTCTACAAGAATAAGCATCTTTTTAAATACATCTCTAAAGGAAGAGACCCCGTAGTTTTATCATCTATAACAATGGAATTTGTATTACTATAAATGTGACTTTCTATCTGGCAATACTCACTTTAAGGTCACGTTACAGTGCTCCTTGGAGCAGAACTGAAGTGCAGTAGAAGAGTACAGCTTTGCATGAAGTCAGCAGCATTGAACATACAGCTCACGTGGTAACGTATCAAGACAAATAGCAATCTCTTACATCAAAGCAGTAATCAAAGTGCAAATAGACAGACAACGTGAGAATTTAAACTAGATTTAACCTGAATTTGGGAAGAAAGCACTAGAAACTGAATCAGAATACTACAAAACAGTCCTGTGAAACAACTCAAACAGGTTTGCTGAGTCTCAGGTGTCACTGTAAGACTTATTAAAATCATTGTTGCTTTCTGAAAAATAGATGTGCAGTTGCTTGTTGGTTTGTTGGGCTGTTTTTATTTGTTTATTTTAAGAATTAGTCTTTGTAACCCTGATGTGGTATCTTAGTAACAGTCAGGATGTCATTTCCAACAGTCGTTTCTGTTCCAGAGCACACTGTTCAGCACAGCCCATCAGTCACTGAGATGCTTGCATACTTCCCAGTGGAACCATAAAAGCTCGAGTGCTGCAGTTTCCTTGATTCTCACTGCAGTAGCTGCACCGTTAGCCTTGGCTGTGACTGAGTGGGAGAACATCAGGCACATAATTGGCAAGAATTGTTCATTGTGTCACCAATGTATGCCATTCTTGCCAGTAGTCCTTTGGTTACCACACTCTGCATTTGTCTGCAGGATGCATGGCAGTGCCTTTTTTACAGTGAAACACTTCTGAGAAGGCTTCAAAGTTCTGCAAAGAGCCCATCACCCTGAACAAAGAGAAGAAACTTATTTGTATGGAAACAGTGCATGGAGATAATTGCTCTGGGAAACAGAAAACTATGTTCATGATGTGATTAAGTCAGGGAACTCAGCTACAGTCTCAGAGCCCCACACACTTTGACTCTGCAAGAAGAACAAAGCTGACATTACTACTGAAAAGCTTGAACAAACATTCTCTATAGATTGGCAAATTCAGACTAAGTAAAGGAATGCACCCTTCAGCAGTGTCCTACAGGGGGAGAATTTCTATGTTAGCCTGAATTTATCTTGTCTGTTAGCGTGTAGCTGCTAGCCATGCACTGCTCTCTGGCTCTGCACTTCACTGGTGCAAAGGATTGAACCAAGTAAATAAACCCACCTGTATTTCAGAGGGCTGTGAACATCTGTCTTTATTGACTGGCTGGCATATTCTGGTCTGTAGGAACCACACCAGACCTACATAAGGAGAATTAATAATTAGCGGATCAGCATTAAAGGAAATGCAATTTGGGTACTTACTTCTCTTTATCCAAAGTTCCTGAGAGGTGACCCTATTTGTTACAACATTGTTGGAGTGTGTTTTAGAGAGGAAGCAGAATAGACACAGTTGTTTTCTCTAATTAGTTTTAGTTTTGTCTATATCTTTGGGATGGATAAACTAGCTCTCAATGTCACCTACGTGTTTCCTCAAAGGAATGAGCTTCAGTCAGACAGTCCAGGATGCACAGTGTTAGGTCCCCTAATGTCAAACATTTATTAATCTACGACTGAAAACACATGAGAATTTCTTATCCAGGCGGTAGGGTGAAATGGAACTTGGCAAATTTACTGTTTCTGCATTGTAATAAAGGGATATATAGGAAATGAGTGGAATCAGTAGCAACATCTGTAGTCTGAAGATGCATGCAGCCAGTGGTGAATCACTTTACAAGTGGAACTGGTGTTTTCTCTACACTTCAGGCTTGTCTGTGGGTTTCTGAGTTTCTTACCTGGGCAAAGTTGAGGAAGAAAAGCTGCTTGTGGGACAGATTCAGTCCAGGCAACTTTGGTTCCTTCCCTTCCTGTTCCAGCCATTTTAAATAAGCCTAGAAATTATCATGGATTCAGTTCAGTGAAGCAACAGGATGGCCTATTCATACACAACGGGTGTTCGGAATGCTATGCTGAAGTGAGAGATTTCAATCAGAATTGTGTGTGAACTCAAAGTTTTCTGTTCTGTTTTCCTAATTTTTGTCTTTCTGATACAAATAGTATGGCAAATTTTATGGAAAAAAAAAGTCATTGTGGGTGTTCTAATTAAACACATGGAGATAATTTGCAGTCATCTTTGGAGAAATCTTTGAACTGGAAACTGATCATAAGCCAGGGAAAAAATACCACTTTCTTAAGTGGAAGTTGAGTTTTAGGTTTGCAGTTGTTACTGGTGAATGGACCTCCATTGCAAGAACTGTGTTCATCCTTCAAGGACACCTGGAGATCCATTCTGAATTTCTGATTGTTTTACCCAAAGGTAGGACCTGCCACTCTGGTGTAACATGAGTTTGCTATTGTGTCTCAGCAAGCAAGCATGGCACCATGTGGCAGGTACTTTCAGCTCAAGTGTAGCTGGATATACATACTAGCTCAGTAAGGCAACAGAGACAGAATGTGACTGCAATTTGAGCTAAAATCATCAGCTTTTACATTACTTTTTCTGTAGGATTTTTTGTATCTAGAGAAGAAGCATAAGTCTTCTCTATACTTCTGTGTTGATGATTTCTGTGTCTTCAGGTAACTGCTCATAAAATAGCAGATAATCATCTTGCTCGATGTTAAATCCATTACCTCTTATTGTTACACATTAATTGGCCAATTTTCTTTTTTTAGGTATATTGACATAATGGAGACAAGTTAATGTGTCCTCATGCTGATTAATTTCAAATTTTCTATCACCTTATTCTTGTGGTTGCTGAGATAGTCTCAAACCACACAAAATACAAAAGGTAGAACTGGGAGATTCAGATGCATTCAGCAGCACAGAGCCTCAGCAGATCCTGCACACAGGACATGTCATACCATGCTGCTCTTCCACATGTGTCATACATCTTAGAATCACGTATGTATTCACATTACTGAAATAATTAATTTTAATGGTATTCCTCAGATTCAGCCTTTTCAGTTTAGATTTCTGAAAATTCAGGATGTTCTTCTATAAACACCCTTAACTGTTACCATATTCACAACTGGAGAGAAGAAGTTTTACCCTGACATCTGCTGGGATTATTCTTAGAAAAGAACATTCCATGGTCACGCTTGAGCTCCACATGGAAAGAACCTTTGTACCAATAAATACTGAGTTCCTATTCATAATGGTGTGTGTAAATCTGGAGGATTACAGATACTGGACTTCCCTGAGGCTAGAAGCTGTCTTCTCCTGTTGGAATAGGACGATATGCAGTGGTGTTTTTAACAGATAGCAGTATGCTAAACAACATCTTTCAGCTGCAGCAGAGGCAGCGCTCTGAGATACAGTTGCATTTCTCTTATTTTGAAAAGAACTGAAGCAGCCTTTTTACCATGGAAAGAAGAGTTCTGAAATTATCAATTATCAATTTTTTTTTTTTTTTTTTGCTTACTACAAAAAAGACACAGCATCAAAGTAGAAGAAACTTCTTTGTGTTATTTCCCTAAAGCTTGTAAGACAAAGAAAGCAACAAAAGGAGCTAAGTGTTTAGAGACGGGTGTTCTGGTAGATGTGATCTGTATTCCTTTTGAGGAGGAGATGGAACATCTATGTGTTCTTTTCTTGTCTTACCCGACGTGTCACTTTTGAAATCAAAGATGAAAAGTGTGAGAGAAAAACTTGAAAAGACCACATTGCTCTGTTTCATAATATCACAAAGCTGCAGTGCTCAGAAATTAGAGCCTGCTGCCATGTGATAAGCTGCTGGTGGTTGTAGCTGCCATTTTCAGAATTAGGAGCTTTAGAAAATTGAGAGTGCTTCACCTTTTTCTTGTGTAACATTGTGCCTATTTATGACCGTGGCCCTTGTTTACCTGAAACTGAAGTATGCAGCATCAAGCATCATGTCACATCAGAGTATAATTGTGTTCTTCTCCTGGATGCAAGAATGCCAGCAATCCTACATTGGGTTTGGGTCTATTGGGACATAAACTTCCAGATTCCAGTCTAACTAAGCTTGAACTTTATGTAATAACATGCTAACTGTCAATTTTTCTATGCTATAAAAAGCATCCTGAATTGCTGAATAGCAGGTAAAAATCACGCAGAGTGTATCTGAAATTTACCTTATAAGCCTGTCGGACTCCTCCATTATCTGCAATATTTTCTCCTAGTGTGCTTATTCCACTGACCTGTAAAAGAATAATCATTCATTTACTCTACAGTCAGTAACATCAGTAACCTAGGAGCCACAAGCTGAAGCACAGCTGATGGTCATGTCTGGAACAGAAGGTAGCAGTGACTTTGTGCTAGGACAAAGAAAGGAGAGCATGTAAATAAGGATATATATATATATTTTTTCCCCCCAGAAATTGTTATTTCAAATTTTGGATAGAAATTTGCCCTTTTGATTGGTTTATTGAAGGCAGGCTTCAGAAGAGAAGTAAATCTGAAACTAGGAGTTCATACTTCAAGAGGTGGTGGGAACTGCTGAATTCTCATCTCTAGACACTCTATTATGACTTTGAACCAAGTGCTCGAGATGGCTGTTTTCAAACCTGCATCAGCCTGTTTCCCCTAAATGTCCTAAAACAAAAGATGCTATATATGCCTGTTCCTGGCAGCCATACTTACATTTTGTCCTCCAGCCAGCTCCCACGTGTAGTTCCCATACTGGTGAACCATGCAGCGAGACTGCTCCTTGAAATGCATAGCTGAGAAATTGCTCCACCAGTCAAACATATTTCCATCTTTGTCAAAATTCCTACCTGTGTGAAAAATTCAATACATTACTGGCTTACAGTATCAGAAATGGGACTTCATTCAAAACTGTTTTACACCTCATTATAGAAAGATAATAAAGTAAATTTATTTCATAGGTTTACATGGGGAGAAAAACGATTCCTGTATTTCAAGACAGTGCTAGCTGCTCTTTTATGAAGGAGTGAAGGAAGAATGTAGTGCACAGATTTCATTCACTTTAGAAGCTGGCATACCTGCTTGTACTGACAGTATTTCCAAATCTGATGCTGCTGCAGAAGCAACAGGTTTTCCTGAGAATTGCCATTGAGTCAATTTGTTTTAAAAACCTGCTTACACCTTGAGTGGCCTGCTAAGTTCAGTGTAAAGTGCTCAAGAGAATGCTCACAGTGTGCATGTATTGCTCCCAGATAATTAACTTAGCAGGTGTGTGCACACTTGTGCATGGATACTTCAGTCACAGAAGTGTATAATTTTAATTTCTTACTATGTAATGAATGCAACTGAAAGAAGAATTCTTTCTGAGTTAATCTTCTCACCATTGTCGTCAAAGCCGTGAGTAATTTCATGCCCAATAACCATCCCAATCCCTCCGAAGTTCAGGGCTTGTGGTTGGTGTTTGCTGAAGAATGGAGGCTGTAGAATCCCAGCAGGAAAAACTGCAAAGAGGAACAGAGAGGGAGGTGCTGGGAGCTAGATGGCTTTATTTCTGCATGCTTGGCAAACTCCGTGGTTATTTGGTTAAAAGGTCAGGAGAGCATCTAAAATATAAAATGATTAGAAACACATCATGCCTCCTCATGTGAAGTTGCTTCCCTCTGTATAAATGGGGAATGACAAGTTAAAAAGGTTTAATTTAGCACATCTGCAATTACAGTATTTCTTCTGAGAACCAAGCATCATTTACATTTCAGCTTTAGCCTCATTTGATCTATAACATATAATGCAGTGAGTGAGGAACAGGAAGTTTAGTAACTGTCTCCTGGAGATGGGTACAGTTTGTGTTTTAAAGCCATTTTATAGGGGAACTAATGGATGTTTTACTGCTTTATTTTGGGTGCAGAAAGGTGAGCAATCATATGCTGATTACCACCAAAAACACTCAGCATGTAAAACATGCAGGGCAGTAACTGCTACAGACCTCCAAATGCTGACTGACTCCCATGTCAGTCGTGGGAGGGCAGCAGGAGGTCTATCCTTCAGTCTCTCTGAAAAAAGCCTTATGTAGAAGCAATGGGATTTAGTTTTCTTCCCATGTATGTAAAATGAAAGACGTACATGCTTCTAGAAGAATTAAGACTGAAAGCACTTCATTCTACGAAGGTATTTTCTAATAATTGAAATACTATAATTAGATACTTCATTCAAAGACCCATGCCTTCAAAGATTTTAGCCATGCAATCCTGGGGAGAAGTATGCACATGCTGGCTTGCATATTCATCTACAAGTTAAGCCAGTTACTTCCATCTTGTTTACAAGAGCAAAGCTGTAGAGCAACCAGGCTTCATTAAGACCAGATTTCACTTCTGGGAAAGCCAGCTCACAGCTGATTACAGTGAGTATAAAACCAGTGTCAGTAAATAGGGATGATGTGGCTAAATAGTCTGATGGTGAACACATGTGCAGCATGATGGCATCTATTAGCAAGCTACAGGAGGAGTGCTACTGAGGCTGAAGGATCAGTGGTAGCTTTGCTATTGTACCTACAATATAGAAGTAAATGGAAGCTGCAGAAGTGGGAAATAATTCTTTCTGATGAGGCTAAAGGGTCACATCATGAGTGCTTTGGATGTTCCTGCCTTTAGGAAAATAGTATATAAATCTGCCCTTGGGCTGTGGTTTTAGCTTGATGCTGTGAGGATATAGTTGCTGTCTGGTCAAAAAAGGCACATATTTTTCTCTTACCATATTGGGCACTTCTTAACATAGTGATACTCTTGTTGCTCTGGGAATGCAAATAAACACTATGGAGTAGAAATGATTTGGTTCTCTCCAGTTTGAAGTCCTCAGAGTTCAGCAAGGACTCTACAATATCTCATGTGAACTTCTGGCCACCTGCACAAGCTCAGAAATGGGAATACGTGGAACCAGACACGTTCATCATGTCTTCTTACATCTGAGATCTTGGCTACTAAGAACAAGAGGGATCAGGCTAGCAACTCAGCAAAATATCTCAGCTCTAACATCCTGTAAGCAGAGGCAGGTTTCTTTAGTGCAGTATACCTCTCAGCAAAATGATTTCTATACCATCTGCACAGAGAGCAAACTGGAAGGCTGCCCTTATGTTTATCAGGAATGTGGAAACATGAGTAGAAACAGCCCAGAACACACTCTGAGCATTCCCTGGTTGCTGGAGCTGGCACTTGTATAGTAGCAGTTACTGTCTCAGGCTTTCAAACATAAGGCTGTTCCAATTACAGTATATGAACTATGCCTGCCAAGTAGGGGGGGGTGGGGAGTTGAATATTCATCAACAAAGCTGCTGTTTGAAGAGAACAGCCTGCCTACCTTGCCCTCAGCTTCCACAAAGGCCCAGGCAGGTTTGCCTCCAGACAGCAGACTTGCAGCTTCTGAAGCACTAACTGGTTAACAGCTGTTTAAAATTGTTATTGACCTACCTATCTGGTTCCGATTGGGAGAATAGAATGCATTGACCACTGCAGCTCCAATTATCCATCTGAAAAGAAATGTTGCACACAAATTCATGAATTTTTTAAACATTTTTCTTACTGAATTACTGAATATATTCACAAATGTAGATTGCATTTAAGAAAAGGTTTGAGATGGGAAAAAAGGTGCCACTGAATGCAGTTGTAAAGAAATACTCATAATAGGAAATAGATGATGTCTCACTTATTGGCATCTTTCATCCAAAAGAATACCAAATTAAAGCAAGAAACACGTTTGCTCTTGAATGTTGAACACTGACACTGGAGTGGAATGTGGTGGCTGTTTACCAGGTCACTTTAAAACTATCTGAGCTTAAGAGGAAAAGAAGTATTACATTCATAAGAAAATTAACATTTAGAAGACTTTCTGAACAGCAGAAGGCAGTTACTCAAATTAGAAGTTAAGACCCAACTTGTCTGTTGCACAATTTTAATTAAAACTGAATAATCAGTCATTGCAAATCTGGAATCAGATATACAAATGTCTGCATTTGGAGTCCACTGTCTCATGGATAATGAGTATTAACTTAGAGTAGTAATTCTTATTTGAAATAAGCTTCTCTTGGAAAATTTTACCCATAACTTAACAACTTTTCATTCTTTGTATTTCTTCCCTTCCACCCCCCCTCCTTCTCTTCTACCTGGTGTACACTTGTGCTCAGCCCACTTCAAGGCAGTAACAGTCTGAAGCCATGAACTCTTGGCAAGTGTTTAGCAGCAGCAGCCTAAGATACTGCTCTTCCCACATCTTTTGTCCTCTCAGTGTCACGTGTGCCCTGATTGCTCTATCTACCATTATAGTACTTGTAAGCTGCTCTGAAGTTTAATTATTCCCTGCTTAGCAAAACAGAAAATGTTCACATCTTCTAGGAGATGTAAACATAAGCATTATTACTTATCTGCAGCATGAATTAACACCATTAATTCAGGACTTAAGATTATGTACCTGACATGTACATGTTCCTTGAAACTTACATGTCTTGGTCAACTCTTTCTCGAAGTTTTTTCAAGCTCTTTTGGGCTCCAGCTCTCAGATTTTCTAGGATGTTCTCAAAGTAATTGTGTTCACTGAAGTTTAGCTGAAGAAAGATATCTTGGTATTGGTAAGATGTGCTGAATGAGGAATTCTTTGTGCCACTGAATGCAGCTTCTAAAATATTTTGATTGCAAAGTATCACTTACAAATGCATGCAAAGAGCTAATTTCCAAAATGTTCCATCCAATCAAGTTTATATGCTTTCTAGTCACTTGGAAATGGTAGCTACTTAGGTGTAAGTACTTAATGTGGCAAGAGAATAAGTGTAGGCCTTAATACAGAGGTGAGGTACTTACTGAGGTACATACAGTGTACTTACATTGGCATATTCCTGATCTAGCTTTTCATTTTGATCTTCCAAGATATAATCTGGGTAGCCAATCTGTTCTTTAATTGCCAACGCCTAGAAGAAAAGAGTTTAATATTTCCTTTTTGATTCAAATTCATTTTTGTTATTGCCCACTTGTTTATGAGAACTGGGATGCAAGTAGCTGAAAACATCCTATTGTCTGGTGAGACTTCAAATAAGCAAACAAAAAAACCCCACCATAGAACATACAGTTGTCTTCTCCTCTCCAAGTGTGGCCAATCACTATGGTAAACTTGCAGGCCCTACAGCACTATTTGACAGGATTCAGCTTAGCTTCTTTTTCTTTGGCAACTGTGCCAGTAGTTCTAAAGTCAATGAAAACGTTCCTTTGGGGAATTGCCTTGTATTCAGTTGTCATATTAGTTGATGGGTGTCATCTTCCCACTTATAATGTGGTTCACTAGATGCTTTAAGGGAAATAAAAATGTATGTGAGCTAATAAGGGATAAAAAAAGAAAAATGCCATAGGATGGATAATAAATAACAGAATAATGGACATGAAACTTTTCTCATTTGGAAACAGTAATGCTACAATATTCCAAAGATTTCATATTCATGAAAGAATACTGAAGTTTCATGTTGTCTCTGACCTTCTCACGAGCTTTTGCTTTAGATGCCTCATCCATCCACTGTAACTCATCTAAGGTCTCAATGAACACTTCACGAATCTTATCTATTAAATCTTGGACCTAAAAGAGAGGCAGTTAAAAAATGAATTATTTACATGCTATTTTTTCCCAAACACAGTTAAGGTGATGAAAGGTTTCCTATTGAAAACTGATTTCCCCAGAATTCTGTGTTTTGTACCTGGCATTTAAAAGAGAATCACAAATGAGTTCTTATGCTTTCTGACTCATGGCTGGTGGGTATCTTTACCAGATAAAATAGGCTGGGAGATCAGATGGAGGGGAATGCTCACTGTGGACACTGGATGTACAATAGTACAAAGGGGAAACTACATACCATCCTCTTGCTCTCACCAGCAAATGTCTCCCTGACATACATTGCTCCTACTGCGTTCTCCATGTTGTTGTTGACATAACTCACGCATTCTCTCCAGCGAGCTTCTTCCAGTGTTGTCCCATAAAGTGCCTAGAAGATAAAACACCGCAGGATCAATTCTGCCAACACACTTTTTATTAAAAATCCTCTGCCAAACTGCTGCCTAATGAGAAAGCTAACTTAAGACAAAAGTTTCTCGTTCCTTCAACTTTGTTTTGTGATTACGTGCTCTAACAATGTCTTTGTGTTGACTTGGTGAATGGGGGACTCTCCTCCCAAAGAGGCTGCAGAGCGTGGTACCGGCAGAGAGGAAATACCTTCCTGTAGCTGGCCCGAGCATCCTTGAAACGCCGACTGAGGCTGCTGACTCGATCAATTACCAGTCGCCAAATGAGGTAGTTCTGGATGGTGCTGTGTGGAAAGCAAAGCTGAGTTTAATCCCTTATAAAATGGAACATTAGTGCAGACTGTCAGAGGAGAACAGTGATGCTGTGTGATTCTCTTTTCTAAGAGAAGCCCCGGGAGAACTAGCAAGTGGGCCCAATAATTTGTTTCCACAGGATTTCTGTGACTATTGTCACGGAATTGTTCCAAATTTTATTTTTTTTTACCTTGCTGAGTACTTGGAAATAATTGCTTTCAGCTCTTGCAAGTAGGGCATGCCATATACAACAACTTCTTCTTCTGGGTCAACCTGAACGCTTACTGAAGACATGACACCCTGGATGAAGAAGGTCCAGTTAAATTCCTAGGCAGAAAGGAGACACATACGCATGGTGTTAAATGCCTTAGTAACTGTTCACACTTTCTGCAGTCCATGCCACTGACTGTTGGTAGTGAAAGCAACAGTCATGAGAGAACACTTACATTTAATGCAAACTTTTCCTGTAGCTCTTTTAAGGTCATTTTGTTGTATAACAAGGTTGCATCATGCCTTTCTTCTGCTGGGGTAGTTGCCTGAAGACATTCACAAAGTTATTACCATAATCAACTGACACAGATTCCAACGGCTGAAGTCACATGAATGTGTGTGCACATAAACATGTAAACATCACTGAGAATAAAAACAGGTTTGGGTTTTTTTGTGGGGAGAAATGAGAGCAGAGAGTTGGTGTCCAGTGTTGCTTTCTACATTTCAGTACAACAGCTCAGGCACCTCTAATTCAATAATGCTTCATTAATCTTTTGAAGCAAGAGATTCCTTCATCTTTCTCAGAAAGGGCAACCAAGCTTTTATAAGTCTACAGCACCCCAAAAAATGCCAACTAATGATGCAAGGGAGCTAGCCCTGGGGTTCTCATGATGTGCGTTTAGCAGAACATGAAGTATTTTGATTTAGGAGACTTCCAAAAAAACAGTATGGTAGGGCTAGAGCAGACATGATAGCAGTGCATGCAGTAGAGATGATTATACACACAGAGACTCTGATTTCTGGGCTGCTCATGGCACAGAAAGCTTCCTTCTCTCCTCACCCCCCTACTTTTTTTTTTTTTTCTTTGGCCATGAGTTTTTTACTGTGTCAAACTGCTGAAAATTAAGAGTAAGACTCTTCCTTCTACCCAAACATCCAGAGAGGTTCTTCACTGCTGTACTCACATTTGCAATATCTGTTTCAAGCTCCATAACCTTTGCCATCTCCTCTTGGACAAACAAATCGTCTTTGGATATATTCATGTCTTCTCGGATCATCTTAGCAATAGTGATCATGAACTGCAGGTAAGCTTCTCTTACCTGCACAGAAGAAATGGTATGTGTGCGTAGGGTCCTTATGAAAAGGTTTACTGTCATCTGTATTAAGCAAACAATTGTTATTTTAACTTTTACAGTCTGCTGTGATAACGTTGGGCTCAATGGCACAGCTTCTACACTCCATTTCTAATTTTACTGTCATTTTTCTTTTTCCTTACTGTAATAGATACTGCTGCAATCCTTATGACCTCCGTTCATCCCGTAATACAGTGCAGTTCCCATCTCAAAACACGTATCAAAAGCAACATTTTTTGCATCTCTATCCAAGCTAACTCTGGAGTTTGGGGTTAGAATTTCAACCAGAGCAAAAAGAAAGCTCTGTGCTTTGAGTTGCACTATGGGAATTAGTTTTTCCTACTCACCAAAATACTGGGGTAAACGTGGAAGGGTTTAAGTTCTCTGAAATTAATACCATAAATCCTCTAAACTCTGTTTTCACCGACTGAAAGAAAAGCTCTCTGGGATGGGTCCCAGTGATACCTTTGCTTTATTTGAAAGAGGAAGCCATGGCTCTGAGTTACACCTCAGAATGGGCCTCGGAAAGATATTTGGTTGCTGAGTACAGATCTGTGATACAGAAAAGCTTAATATTACCTATTATTGCATACTTTTCTTCCTCCGTAGACCTTGGAAACCAGATAAATAAAATAGCTGTTTTGAAATTGAGTCCGGGCACTTACATGATAATGGTTTGTGTTTTTAGGCTGAATGCTGAGGCCTTAATCAGGCTGGACTCCCACAGGCCTCAGAAAGAGTTGTGCCAAAAGATGCTGGACAACGCAGAGGGGGAGTTTGGGTCATCAGTTTGGTTCATTGTTTGTGGGAAGTGAGCTGTTAAATAGCAAATAAAAAGGGGTTGTCTCTCCTCTTTATTCATAAAAATTAAAAACACAGCCCTTTTTATTTAGTTATTTTAAATGCTCTTGGGTTTTCTTTTGCTAAGTAAAGATAATCCAGGTACTGTGCCTGATTTTCTACCCCCTACGAGCTCTTCCAAGTCTGATTTTTGAGCAGGGATGCATAAATATCCCTTTTAATGTAACTGCTACTACATAGGTTAAACTTGTAGAACAGAATCCTGGTTCCAGCAGCTCCCAGCAAACTTCGAGCAGCTCTTTGTTGTTCCCAACACAGCCATGTGCAGATTATATGTTGTTATTATGAGACAGATGAACAGAAGTTGGCAGTTCATAAAGGTGGCCAGAAGGTGTGGAAAAACAATCTCATAAAAATTTCACAGGAATGTATTTTAGACCATATAATATATGGAAATATATTCAAATGCAATGAAGGCATAAGAAAGCTAGTCTCTCTCTTTTGTTTTTGTTTTTATTTTTTTTTAATCTGTCTTTACAGCCACTAGACAGGAGCCTGAAATGCTGATCGTTCTCTCTCTATTCCCTTCAGGTCACGCTAGGAAAATGAGTTCGATGTTAAGTTGCAAATCTTCACTGCCAGTATGACATAATTGACAATTAAAAAGTACTAACGCATTATTTTGAGCTTGGAAACTGATAAATTAGTAAGCTGTTGCAAACACAACCTGATAAGTATTTACAGAAACCTCACACTTCTGCCCTGAGCCCTGACACAGAAGAGCAGCTAGGATTTAATCTCTCACAACTGCCATGTAGTTTTGGGGAACATGAGGAGGGAAGGAAGGAAGTGACAGCAGATTCTTACCAGCTGAGTAATTATATTAATTAATTCCATGTAAAACTTGATTTATGTTTTTTGGGTTCTTTTTTTTTTTTTTCCTGAATGAACACGTGAGCTTTTGAATATTTTGGTCTTGAACAAGAGTCATTTTGTGGCATTGCATGCTCAAATACAGAAGAATTGCCACTTTGGGTTGTACTGATAACCAAGTTTTCAGAACCTTCTATGACAGCAACCAGAGCAGGTGGTTTTAGAAGATGCAAGCAACATAGGTTCACAATTTTAGTGAAAGTTATCCTTCAAAATTAGAAACTGTTAGAAGTTATAAAATAGAGTTATATTTTGTTCACTTAACCTTCTTCTGATCAGTGTGAATTAGCCAGTTCTGAGGAGACTTGATACTTAGACATTTGTTCTGTCCTTTTGTAAAGTTGATGAAAGTAGAGAAAATTGTAGCAGTGAATGTGACAATCTGCTGAGTAACATGAAGATTCTTATGTTTGAGTTTTCCAAAACATAGGAATACTGAATGATGTTACTTTAGTAGCACACAGTAAATAAAATTACAAGGGGTACTTACCCTTTGGTAGTTGCCCCCATTAAAGTAGTAATCTCTGGATGGCATTCCTAAACTAGGTTGGTCAATCTGAAGGAGATCATATACATTTCTTTAGTTAGTGATGAACAGGAACTGGTGCTGTCCAAAGATGTCCTTGAAAGGCAACAGCCTTGAAATGCTGCACATGCCATCCAGTGTTGGAATGGCCAACAGTGAGCTTCTACCAAACATTCAAGAACTTCAGCTCTCTAGAAACTGAGGTGAGATGGAAAGTACAACTTCTGTCTCTGAATTTCTAGATGATGACAGGATGGATACTTAGCATGAGTTATTGAGGAAAGTCTTTAAGTAGTCACTGAGATAGAAAAATAAATGTAAGCAACTTAGAAAAGAAGCTGCTTGACTTGTGGGCTACATTTCATGCATAAGAATGCATGAACGAGCTCTGAAATATATACATACTGACTTTTGAAATATGGTATCCTGCTGTATAATAAACCTCACAATCATTTTGCAAGTCACAAGCATTTTTGACCCTTAAATGTTGTAAATCAGCAAAGGTCCATTGATTCAGCAGAAAAAGCAAATTATGCTACCATGGAATGTTTCCCAAAATAACTTTGAGACGTATCTGACACTTGAACCATTACATAAATTTTGCCAGTTGTGTATACACACTGACTTCATGGACAGCTGATCCATGTGTAAGGGAAATAAGAACATGTCATAATTCTGGGGCACATAAATAATTCCTTGCAGTATTTTTCTTACATAGATGATATGTCTGCTGGAATCCCGGTCATCATTCCATACAAACATGTCAATGAGGACACGTTTGTTAAATCTGGAGTTCATTATGGAGAGTTTCTCTTCCATGCTCCAGCTTGGTTCTTGGAGATAAAAGGAAAAATAGACATTTTTTAGTAATGTATCAATTTGAACAGGGCATATATGTATGTGTTGTATCCTACATTTTAATCTTTTCTTCGTAAGCAAAAGTCAGGCTATCCAGGACAGCTGTCAGCTTAGTGCAGTAAATAATTCTGCCTCTTTCAGCCACAGTATTACCTTTGGTGCTGTTCCAGTCTGCAGAAGCCACTGGCCAATCTCCAACCATTGTTAAGACCTCTAGCAGGGGCAATGAATCTCGCTGCTCTATTAGACCTGAGAGAGGAGAAACAAATACTATTTTGTTTTGGAGAGCTGGGAGGAAGGGTGAGGAGGAATGGAGGAAGAAGAAAAAGAGATAATATTCCTTACAGTTTAAATTTGGAACTGAATCTATCATTGTAAAAAATGAGAGAGACCATGAAATCATCAGTCTCCTGCATTAGTTTGATTGAATGGCTTTGGAAAGAATGAAATGAATTGCAGTTTTGTATACAGAAGGAAAGGCTTTGCATGTTTGAGGATGGTAAGCAGCATCCATGCCATATACCAAGGCATCTGGATCCATCTGGCTGAAGAATGATGTTCCAGACAAGGCAACAGCAATTACACAGATATTGCCTGGACCTTTGTTCAGGTTGTATGTTTGGTATTGAGCAAAGGAACAAAACAAGAAGGGACTCACTCTCATTCATGCATGACTTGTAAAGTATCTTAGCCTTCTGAAATGCTTCTCTGTCCCCTTGATCTGAACTCTCCAGCACACCTGAGGAAAGAACCATTGCCATGAGATTTTTGCCCTGGAGATCTTTGATCTTTTCATAGAAATCACTGAGAATTCAGGGCTGTGAAAAATACTTGTTACCTTAGGCTTCCATTGCTGTTAAACTAGAGTGCTCTTTAAAGGAGCTACCAAAAGAACTAAGTGTCAGGAAGGACATGCATGTAGCTTATCCATCTCCCTTTGAAGTTAGTACCAAATCACCTGTGGCCAATTTTTAGTGAGAACAGGATGTTATGACAAGATGGATGTGGTAAAAGATGGAGAGATTAAAGGACTGGAGATAAAAAATCACAATCACAATCAACACTTCTCTCCGTAATGTACAATAAATTGTGAGAGCTGAAATTAAACACAAATGTGTAACCAAGGATAGAGAAGCCTCATTCCTACCTTTTAGGATGATCTCCAGCTCATCCCTCAGGATGTCAAAAATGCTGTATCTGGAGCTAGTTTCAGGGATAACATGCCGGTTCAGCCAGCCTCCACAGGCATACTGGTAGAAATCCTTGCAAGGATCAGCTGTTGTGTCCATATTCTGAATTATTCTAGCAGCTACATATCAAAATTAGAGAGTTGAGTTCCACAAACTACCCAGTAATCTCTGGGACTACCAGAGACTGCCACCAACATGCCTGGAAAGAAGGCACCTTGCTCACGCTGCTTAACACGGATAAGACTTATGCTCATGGATCATGACTCAAAGGATCATATTCTTTGTTTAAAAACACAAATACGTATCTGATAGCAGACATCTGCACTGCAATTGGAGTGCTTTACAGAGGGAGCTTGTAAAGGACAATCTGATAATTCTCCCACAGCTCACTGACTTATACCTGAGGTACCTGCCTATGAAGTCAGTGTTTCCAGGGGGCGACTGAACATTTCTGTTGTGGTCTTACCTCTCTTAATTGTATATGATGGAGTTATACCAGTAGATGCTCAAAATGAATAGCTCTGTGTGTACAATCTATTCTCCCTAGCAGAATTAATTCTAAGGGGATTTATGTGATACTTAGGTATAGACTGTGTTGGTCAATTCATGTAATTGTGGTTCAGGCTAGAGAACCATTGACCATAATGGAAATCTTCCTGTACTATTTCCTTACCATGAAAATATAATGGAGAAATAACAACAGTTTTGGTTTTTTTGGTCCCAGTGTTTACACATGGAGCTGTGTTTGAGGACAGCTATACGTACTGACTTTGACAGAAATAGTTCTATTCCTTTAATACTTATCCAGTCTTAAAGCCTGCCTTGTTTATTCAGAGTGGGCAGATCACTTGTAAAACATCACTTCTATAAGAATCATCATTATAAGAATTGTTACCTGCTGTAACACAACCAGGTGTGGTACATATATTGCCTGAATTGGTACCATACTGAGTGCCTGTAGAGAAAGGAGTAAGAAAGCAGACAGAATTAGTTGGAAGTCACTACCAATGTCATCCACCAACAGTTCAATCTCAGTGCCAGTAAAAGGTATCAATGTCAAACACATCTCTTGTCTTGGATATGTGTGGAACACTTCTGTGCAAGAAGTACAACAGCATTCTCAGCAGTGAGTTTTAACTCACCTGCTCATCATCTTCGTGATAGAAATGTTTTGCAGGAGCTTCTAAAAGAAGGGAAAAAAACCCAAACAAGAAACAAACATGTGCCACTGTTATGTGAAGAAATGAATCTGTATCCCCATTCCAGCAGAATCTTAGTATCACTCTTGGATATTAGTTTTCTCTTTTTTAATACTTTGTCTTGGTCTGTGAAATTCCTCCAGTGAAGAAAATCAGCAGAAGCCCAACGCACTGCTAACGTGTGAGTGATGAGCAGAGCTGGAGCAGTGCCCAGCTCCTCTGCTCAGTGCTCTCTGCTAAATGTGCTGCTGTGAGCCTGATGGCAGTGATACCGAGGGCCTGGATGTAAAATCTAGAACTCAACACCTCGACTTTGTAACAGCATCTGATCATAAACTTCCTTGATCCTTACTCTGGGGTGCTTGCAGAAAAGTTGCTTGAAACTTCCTTCCCATGAAAACAAGTGTTTTGTATTAGAGCAAACAAGATTACAGTAATTCAGATAGAAATAAAACAGTAGGGAAGGAAAGAGGGCTTTGAAGTTCATCAGAGGAAGCAACATAAAAAGCCCTCACTGTGATTGGGAATGTAACATTCAGGGTTCAGTAGAGTGCAGTTGTGCTGTGTGGGAGTAGGTCTGCATTACAATAACTGCATGCCTTGTAATAGTTCAGTGTCTAAACATGGGATGAGCAAAATATGTGCAACGATATGAAGCTTCACGTAGAGGCTTCAGCATTGTTTTAATAACCAGGTGAAACAAGCACAAGTGGTGGAGTTCCTTAAACTCTCTAATACATATTTAAAAGCCACGGGCTCTTCCACAGAGAAGGTTAAAAAACATAGACATATATGTGTAGATACACACACTTCTTTCTAGGAAAAGCCAATAGTTCAAAGGCACACTGAAATTTTCCTTAAGAAGTAGTACTGGTGAGGGTGAGAAGTGCACCGAGTGTGCTGTATTTCTTCCACCATTTCTCAGGGTTGGAACAGGACTCAGGTGAAGCCTGTTTTTAATAGAAATTTCTCCCTTTAATATAACCTCACAGTGTTTAACTTTGGTTTCTGGAATCCAGCTGCTTTCAACAAGATTCAAACCCCTCATTCAAAAAGCACTTGTGACCGTGAAAATGTAACCGAGATGCAGAAGCAGGGAAGCCAAATCTGTTCTGAAAGCTTGGTTGCATATTCAGTGCTCTGAAACTCTGCCACGAAAAGAGATGATCAGAAATGGCTGTGAGGGGCTCTCAATTTACTTCTGAAAGTGGTTCTTTTGTGTGTTTTTTTTTTTTCCTGACAGAGAACCAAGCCAGCCAGATACACACGGTCAGTGTATGAGATATGACCACTTAGGGAGGTATTTGTTGAGTCTTTGCTCACTTCTCTGAGGCTTTGCATGCTGCACTTCTTGAACCTCAAAGAACTGGAAGCAAACGTAAAATGCATCTTTCAGCCAATTTCAGACAGAATTTCTGGTGGGGATCAGCAGATGGAATAATGGCTGCTTCTGCTGCCCAGTGCATGGCCTGGCACTCCCACTAACAACATTCACACTTGCATTCTCTTAGCTCCATCTTAGCAGAACTGGGACAGAACAGAGTCTTGCCACCCAAATGTCATTTCACAGTGACTTTTGTGTTAGCTGCCACTTCTTTAAATTCTCCATCTCCTTTGGCTAGGATGCCTCACTAGTGAACGTTCATGGAGCTAAAGAATGATGAGCCATCAGCAGTCTAGGAGATGAGCCAGATCTCAGCCACAACCTTTTCTTCTTGTGCTGGTGCTGAGCTCAGATATTGCTCTCACAAGCCCATTATTTAAATGCACATTTATTCCATTCACAGCATAGGAAATGTGATGGGCACGGAATGGCTTTTGGAAATCCAATCCCAGAACAAGGTGCTCCTTACTTCAAGACTTGTGTTTCTTTTTGTTTGTTTGTAAATGCTATCAGATGCAGGAGTGGGCCCTCACCTCTAGCAGCCTGTGCAATAGGTGGGACTGCTGACAACCAGGAGGGATGCAAACAGAAAGAAAATATCTGCACATCTTACCTGAAAGAAACATACAGACTTGGGAGCCAGAAGGTGAATAATGTATCAATTAAATGGATGATTTGAGTGGTCAGGACTGGCAATTAAATGAGAATGCAAATTGTTTGCAACTCATATCTATTCAGAGAAGCCATTGGTTATGACTTGACAGCTACAATATGTGTTGAAATGTTCTTCAAACTGTAACTGCTACAACAAGTGATGAGATTTGGAGGTTGGTAAATATTTGTGGAACATAGCTGAGAGAAAGCTATGAAAAGGCTGCCAGGATGGGTGTGTAGGTGGTGATGGAAAGATGTAATTGAGAACATGCTGTAGTCAGATTCAAAAACGAATGACTTCACTTGTCTGCCTCCCTTTCTTTGCTCACCCAAATATTACTCTGCTATTCTTACTAAACTTTTTCTTGCTCAGTTAGACAAGCTTTTATGAGCATGAAAGCTCCTCTAGATATCAAAAATCCCCAAGAGCTTCTAGATTCTTTTTTTTTCTTCTTTCTTTTTTTCTTTCTTTCTTTTTTTTTTTTTTGTTTTTTTTTGTTTTGTTTATTTGTTTTATGGAGATAAAAGAAGAAAAAACTCTTAATTTTCCATTAGCAAAATAGCTATCAGGCCAAGCAGCACTGCAGCTTTGCTATCATTTTGCACTCACGTTTTCCTTGGGAATGACTGAATCTGGGAAGCATTTCAAATGAAAGCTTAATTGCTGATACAGGCCTGAAAAATATTTATATATTGGAATTCCTTTTCCACAAACAAGCTTTCTTTTTTTTGTGTGCATACACTGGCTTTGTATGCAGCACAGACTCTTCCCATGGATCTGGATGTGAGACCAATATTTGGACAAATATTAATAATGCCTGAATTTTGATTTGCCTGAACCCAAGAAGCAATGTGGACAGCAGGTTTCTCATATCTTTTATGCATCCAAGCAACAAAAATTCTTCACAGCTCAGTGTTTTGATACAGAAATGCCTGCTGTAGGACTTAGCTTACGGGAGTTGTTTCTTCTCTCTTAAGCAGAATAAAAATGAACAACTTACGAATTGCAAACGCTCAGGGATTTCATCCAGCATTGGAACAAATGCTGATAACACTCAATTGCTGGCAGCGAAAAAGTAAACAATAAAAAAAGGCTTTTCTCTTGAATTATTACTCCCCCAAAATGGGGAGCATCCCTGCTCTGCATTACTATATTCAGGCAGAGCACATCGAACCTTGTTGTCAGGTTTCTGGCAAGTCATTCCCATAGAAGTCACTGAAGCACATTTCACCTGGAGCTCAAATTGCACGATGCAGTTTTAAAGAAGTCTCTCTCCCCCCTCCAGCAGTGCACTGACACTTACTGTGCTATAAAATACGGGAATGTAAAAACACACACACAGCCATACTTCCCCTCTAAAACAGTGCAGCAGTTTTTGATCTTTGTCAAACATGATAAACTTAAGAAAATGCACAAAATTACTTAAATCTTACTTGATTTAATTTAATAATGAAATAAAATGCCACAATCCCCTCTCGGTGAGCTTCCAACAAGGCAGAGATAGGAAAGTCCCTCAGAGAGGTGAGCTCACCTTCTCTCTGTATTTCTGTTTTCATTTGGCTCTGCAGAAAAGACCTTAACGTTGCTCGCATGGCAAAAAGGAAAATTATTCAGGGGTTACTTACCTCTGCTGCTGGCATACAGGATTACCAGGGCGACTGCAGAACAAGTCATGAGGAGCAGCAGGACAGCCAGCCCAATGGCCACGAAGCGCCAGGATTTCTTCCCAGATTTTGTTGATTTTTCCACAATATCCATTTGACTTTCTGATTTCCCCATTATTGTAACTCTAAATTATGGAGGGGAGGGTAAGAAAGAATTAGCTGCACGGCTAAAGCAGTATGGGGTGAATACATGACAAATCAGGGAGTAAAAGGAAGCAGAAAAAAAGCAAAGATAGGTAAAGAAAACTTCCAAATTATTACATGTATTTGTCCATTTGATTGTCCACAGATTTGCCAACCTCATTCTCCATTCTCCGTGCCTACCAGGTTGCCTGCACTCAGGGCTACGCCACCCAGACTCAGTGGTGCCGTGTCATCGCTCCAGGAGCCTGCTTTGGGAAGTGTGAGAAAGTCTCATGACTAGGTTGGGCAACTCCTTTCTCCCAAAAGGGGAAGGAGGGGAAAATCTGCCTCCTTCCACTCCTCGCTTTGAAAAGTATCTTGCTGTTTCCAATAATTTTCCTCTCTTCCTCTGTGGATGTGAGTGGCTGTGTTATCAGCAGCAGAATCCAAATAGAGATCCTTCCAGATGCGAGCGTCTTTGAGCTGCGTCTGCCCTGTCCTTAGCAGAGATGAAGGGTTTGCAAAGGAGAAGGCTCCTACAGCGTGTGTCAGCTCCCAGAGCTCCTGACTGCCAGCTCCTCAGTCTTCTCAGAGCCATTCCCAAAGTTCTGAGCTCAGCTGTGTGCAGTTCCCAGCTTCAAGCAGACGCTCCTGAGCAGCAGGGGGAGGAGGGGTTGCATCACACAGGCAGGCTGAGGGCTCTGTGCTCACAGTCTGCACGCTGCACCGCTGCTGCCGAGTTTCCTCCAGCTTTCCTGAAATGTGCCACCAGGTTACGTGGCTGTGTGCTCAAAGGAGGAGTGAGAAGTCAGAGGTGGAAACCTACCATAAGCTTCTGGCCCTGAGAGTGCTGGCAGCTTTCAGTGTAATACACGACAGCAGTTAGTGGAGTGAAAGCACGCTGATTTATACATAGGTTCGGGCAACGTGCAGAATTCCTTTTCTGCTTCTCCTTGAAAATCTAAAAGCTAAGAGCTGGGTAAGACAGTAGAAGGATGGGTATGTCATTTCCCTTGGGTTTCATGCAATTCTTTTCCAGAGCTGACTTTGGAATGGAGAGAGAAACAGTTTGTTCTATTTGTCTTCTGTTCTGTGCATTCAGCTAGTGTAACTCTCTATAGATTTTAAGGTTGGCACTTCTCAAGCTGAGCTCTTCACCAGCACTCTCAGCTTTGAGTGCAGCAGAGGGAAGCACTGGGGACAGAGCAGGGGCTTCTTTGTGGCAGTGCTGTTTACTGGGATGTGCAAACAGTGTTCCAAGAATATGAGCACAGACGTGTTTCCCTGAATGGGGCAGGACACAATGAATGCCAGTTTCTTCTGCCAGGAGTTTAAGCCTCCTCTACTAGTCAGTGCTCTGCCTTAAAACCACTCTGAGAATTTGCCTTTCCTTCGGAGTCACGTTAAGTTAGGCATCTGTCAAGTGTGAAGGCAGCTATTCTCATCCCTCCATCTGAAGAGGAATCTAAGAACTCAAAGATCTGAAAAAACCCCACTGTTTTTGCAGATCCTGGGTGTCCGTCTGTGAAAGCTCGTCACAGAAGTGAACAGTTATACATTTAATTATGTGCCAGATGATCTATTATTTCTCTTTGTAGGGAGCCTAGCAAAGGAACCTCCTATGCACGTGAGCCTTCCTTCTGACTGTAGTCTCATTGTTGCTGTGTGATGCAGCTGGCTCTGAGGAAGGTCTACATATTGCAGTAGACAAGTGCCTCCCAGGATTTCATGCAGATATTTTGTAGTGTGGCTGTAAGATACCAAAGGACATGATTGTGCCCATTTGACAGATGGAGAATCAAGATGCCAAGAACCTGTGAGCTTTGTGCCTACTGCTTTCTATGGATTGTGATTAACGTGGTGTCTGAGGCTGGGAATGCCAAGAGGGATTTTGAGGTGTGGATCCTTGCTCCCCATATAGCCAAAGGACAGAAAAATAACAAAGCCCTAAGAAACACCTGTAATAAATGATTCAAACAAGGCCTAAAGTGACTTAATTGAGGTCGTGCCTAAGCACCAAGGGCATAGATCTCTTATGTCCTCAGACAATTTGCAGATTCCCTCAAAACACATTGTCCTACTCCTAAAGAGAATACCACAGATCATTTTTAATTTTCTTGTGGGATGGGAACTATATCCAGATTTTTGTGTGTATCTGTAATGGTTTCACTTCCTTGTGCAGCTGAGGAAAAGGTGTGCTGTTTCCAATAGGAACTAGAAGGAACTCTGTGTGTTGCACTTCCTAAGGTCACCTTAGGCTGATGGGAACTTCAGCTTGGAAAGTCAGCAGTGACAAACACTTTGTATTTCTGTAACTCATGCAGCTTGGCTCTGAAATCAACTACTTGTTATCTGTAAAGAAAATGTTTCCATTATCACTCCTCAGTCAGGAATCAGTGACAAATGATCTAGGGAGCACAGAGCCTGTTCTGGGTTAGGGAATGTGAAAACATGGAGGAAATGGATTAGTAAGTTTCTCATGTTCTGCCAGGTCCTATTCTAAAGCATTTTGTTAACTCTTTTTCCGCAGCAAGCCTGCAGCTGGGTAAGCAGTAGCAGTGCACCACCCAAAGCAGTCATCCAAAAGCTTGCAGCTACTGCAGAGAAATAAAGGAGGTGCTTGATTAATGATATCATTTTCTATAGGGAAAAGATGGTTTTGCCACCTTAAGACTCAAATTTGCACAGTTTTGGCAAACACAGCATACACTTCAAGTGTCTTAGGTATATATACACAATGGTTTTTCAGGGCAAGTACAATCGAGTCAATGGGAAGGCATAAGACTGCCTGGAAGTGCTCAAAGCTTGCAGAAAATGTGTTATTTTAGTTCTTGATCATATGTTTTGACTCTGGCTTTAGAAATAAGACCTGGTCAGCTGGAAAGCTACACAAGCAGCATATCTAGTGATTTCTGACTTACTGTCAAAAAGAATAATGTGAATCCAAGCAAAAAAAAATTGTCGTGTATTGCCTGGACAGTTTTCTTCCAATAGTAATTAAACAAGAATTTCTCTGTAGAAAAGCATTTTCTTTGTTTCCCACAGAAAAACAAAAGCAACTTGATCTCATAGATGAGAAAACAACAAAGGCAAGTACCATTCCCAAGAATTTAATTCATTTTTTTGTCCTGTGTTTCTCTCTTTTTTTTTTCTCTTATTTCTTTCTGAGCCTTTTCAATAGAAGCAAACAAAGCAATACAGGATATTGAGCTCTATTTAACTTAGAAGAGGCTCAGGAGTAGTGCTACCTTATTTCTAGTGGGGACACAATAAAGAACTTTTAATATGCAAAGGACATGGATATGCCACCTTCCATTGCAGCTTTGCATTTCACTTTCTGATTCTGTTGTTCCAGATTCTGCTGCTGACAGATACCTATCTCAGATATCCAATCAGAAGAGATTGGCCAGCTAACAGTGCATTGTATTTAAGGCCCCAAATCTTATTTATTTATTTTTTTCCTTTCAGTCATTTTTATTCACCTTCTATAATCTAGCAATTGTAGTTATCCCCATATCCAGGTAAAAGTGCAACACCAGACTTGAAATCACTTCCATGTGAAATATTTTCCATTTTTCCTTAGTTTGGAGTTTTCCCCCAGTGTTTGTGAGGCAGGGCTATGGAGAGTACTGTAAAACTCTTCCAAGAAACTGCTTTAACACTGTCTTCTTACTTCTGTGTTTGTCTTTAAGATAATAAAGAACCACAAGTCTGTAATTGTAGCTAATTTCTGTTGTCGCTTGGGTTTCAGTGTTTGGGTTACACAGTTACCAAGAGGCAGTCTGGCATTAAAAACCAACAGCCCAATCCCCAGTAAATGAGCACGGTGAATGGCTCCAGGACAATCACTGCCCTTGGATTCAGTGAAGCAGGGATGCAGACTATAGAGGATAACTCACTGCATTCAGAATGATGAGTTTGTCTTTGAAAGCAAGTCTAACTCCATTATCTGTTAACTAGCAGTATATATATATATGTATGTACGTATATAAATTCATGATTAATATTTTCTCATAGCTGGTTGGATAACCAGGTGTGTGTAGTGTAAATAACCTCCCAGTAGAGGCACATCCAAAACAGATAAGAATCAGTAAAATCTCAAAGTTTAGATTCTCTTTCAAAACTCTTCCTCATTCTCTCTCTGAAAACAAAGACGTTTTGAACACCATCAAAAAATTATCAGACATTTGTGCTATCAGCTATAAAAGACAGTGGTTTCTGCAGTGCATTTCTAAATGCATGCTCTCTGCACAGAGCAGCTGATAAAAATGAGAAGTTGTCTTACCTCTGTGTTGTGGAGAATATTTTGCAGCTCCAGAGGTGGTGGTTGTGCTTTCTGCAATGCAATCAGACGTTCACATTTTCCAGCAGTCAGAAACAAATGCTTATTCTCATTACCAGCACTGATATCCTAACAAGGCTTCTCCCCACAAACGGTCTTGCCCAGTACTGTGCCTACATCTCCCTCTCCTCCCTTGTACATTCCTCACACACGGTCTGACTGCAGACTTATCAGGGAGAATTAACTCTTTGCACCATATTAAAAATCACTTGATCTACACTGGAAAGCAGATTGTGCAGCAAACAGTTCCACTGCTGTCCTTAATGGAATAACACAATTTTCTAGCTTGTTAGCATTTAGAAAAGTCTCTCCTATTACAGTAATTAATTCTTTCAAAAGTTCTCTGTTTAATCTGACATGCTCTTATTCCTTCCCAAGAGATTTTCAAGCATCTGTGTTAGGAAGATTTATTCTGCAAGGCAATTTCTAGTTTTCCAGTGCTGAATACTGCAATTGTGTTTCAATGACACAACCTTCTAAAATTCTGTGTGCATGAATTAAGGGATATGCTTTATTTTGCTCCATGAGAAGATGGATTGCAAACAAAATGATTTTAAGCCATTTTACTTGAAATTATTTCCATATACAGGACAGATGTAAATGTCAGCAGTAATGTTCATTGATGTGTGCTGTGTGTATCTTTCAAATGAAGGAAGATATTTGGAGCAATTAAAAAATCAGCAACCAGTCATGTGAATTTGAACATCATCTACATCTCACTTAAATGTAAGAGATAAACTGTAAGGTGCTTTTTGATCAGTTGTTACACTTAGTTTCAGCAGTACTGTCCATGGCCTGAGGTCTTGAATTATCAAAATGTGTATGCATGTGTTTAACTTGCAGCATATTTCCCCTTTTCACTTTTACATCACCTCCATGCTGGGCACAGTGGGCTGTGAAACCAGAAGGCTGAGGATGTCCTGATGCACCCTGAGAGAGCACTTGGTGGCTGTGGCAGTGTCAGGAGCTGTAGCAGAAAAGATAAAGATACGGTCAGTTGTTTCACAGAGTAACTGCAGGAGGTGCCATACATCAGGAATGGACCCTGGCTCCATTCACAGAGGTGCCTGACTGCCCACAAAGGATCTGCATTCCAGCTGCACCTCTGTGGTGAGAGCTGCCCTTTGGGTCCTGGGAGGCACAGCCAGCATGCAGACAGTAATGCTCAGCAAAGAGCTGGGGCTGAAACTCAGGCAGTGTCATGGCTATAAGAAAGTACCAAAATGTTCATACTCTTTTCCTTGCCATTACCTACAAACAAAACACAAAATCTGTACCCGTGAGGTGCCCTGGATGCCTTCTTGTTCCCACTGAGGGCTGAGGCTCTGAATTTACTGGTGTCAGAGAGCTGTGCAAATAGACAAGGAGGTGTGCAATATCAGAGAGATCACAGGGCTGACCTCAGCTAGCACTGCTGACTGGGGAATGGGTTTGCTGAGAATCCATTGCTCGTCTACAATAGCACATCATCTTTGAAGTATTTTGTACCCAGAATTAAGAGATACAGACAAATATCTGAAAATAAACTATTATCCCCATTATACAAATGGAACAATCAGATAAAGAATCAAAATCAAGATTAGATTAATAGCTGCTGATGCCAGAGGAGCCACTGTGTCTTGTCTGACATCTGGCAAAATACAGAGCAAAGAATTTCACACAAATTAGTCCATTAAATCTATAATCTCTGAGCCTAGAATAAGACCTCTAGAGCTGTCATAAAGATGCTGTGCCATCTTTAGATGCGTTGCCTCCAGGGCACTGATGGAAGCATGCACTGTATTTCTGGTGTAAGGATCTCTGCAAGTGTGAATGGTTCAGTATTTGTAAGGTCAGAGCCTTCACTGGTGAAGTCTTACATGTATTGCTGTTTGTGTGTAATACATTAAAGAGAACAGCAACACAATCAACTTCAGAAACCTTACTGATACAGGTGGTACTCAGGTGACTGATAACAGAAGTCAGTACAAAAACAACAACAATTTCTTAGCAGAATGTGATGGAAGGGGAAGACAATTATAGGGGAAGCTCCTGGGGAAACCTGAGTCACATTTTGTAGGTGGGAACAGACTTAAGTACGTGCTTAAAAGAAGTGTGGAATCAGGTCTTGGATACAGCCCATTAAAAGTTAGAGTCAGATCAAAGTTTCCTTGCTGGGAAGTGGTTTGAGTCTTTCCAAAATGACACAGTCTATTCTAAACCATCAGTTCTATGGCTTTTCCTTCTACATCTCTACTTAATTTGTGATTATATTGCAGTTCATCAGTCAGGTTTATTAGCAGACTTAATTGGATCACATTAGCTGGCATTTTAGCTATCCAAAACAGTTGAGAATGCAATCAATTAAAACATCCAAACACATTAATGATGTAGACAGAGGGTAATTTATGTAGATGGCTAATTACCTGTTTTCTTCAGTAAGTAGGTTTTATTGCCCAGGATGCATGAGAAGAAAAGAAATGGCACTACAAAAATATTGTTGGCCAGGTTGCAAAAGAAAGCAAATGGTGAAGTGTGAATGTTTCTGTTGTTCAAACTGTATTAAAGGAACTCCACTGGAACCAGCACACAGATGTTCTCAGTACTGTAATATTTTAACAAGATTTTTAGAGAATATACTGAGTGTATTACCAGGGTTTGAATGTCTTATCATATGACATCTGAGGTTTCTAAGCAATCAAGATGCTCCATAAAATGGTCATTTTAAGCGGGAAGATAATAATCAGTCTGTTTCTCATTTCATCCACTACTGATCTGGAGCCAAAGACGTGGCTCCCTTGTGAGCTCAGGGCTCTGCACGCCGTGCTGTGTGGCACTGCCTGGTCTGCTCCCTGCGATCAGGAGTTCTCAGTGCTGACCAGGAGATGGAAGTACAACTGAGGGGCATAACAAAATGCAGAACAGGAACGGAATGGAATCCTTATCATTCTCCTGCTTCCTCTCACTCCTACATTCCCCCTCTGGCTCTACTGCTAAATTTTTTCATTTACTGTGAGGCAGTTCAGGAATAAAACATGTAAACTTGTTATCAGATACTGTTCTTAATTTCCTTTCCTATCTGTGGGGAAATTCTTATGCCAGTTCATTCTCTCTAACTCTTGATTTTTTTGGAACAACGCAGGAACATATAAATGCAAAAATGATTGGGTTGAATGGTGAGACACTTAGATTCACCGCTAGTTTGGCAAGTTAGACTTGGCCTGTCCTCACCCCTTCTCAGCTCAGTTCAATGCCACAGAGAGTGATGCCACCCTGCATTTGTCTTCTATCCTCCAGGCACTTCAGTGACCACATAAACCTCTGGTCCTGTTCCTGGAGTGGCAGAGATGCACCTTCCCATTCCTTGGCATCCTACAGAAGACAAAGCACTCATGGCTGGAAGCCACATCAGGTGCGGGAGAAAAGAGGAGGAGCATCTTGAAGCCCACAGCTCCAGAGCACTGTGCCTTCTAAGTAAGGAGTCGCCTTCCTTAAGGGGTCATTAAGAAACAGCTGATGGAAACAACAGGTTCTGACATAAGCTAGTTGAGCTGACATACGACTGAAATAGCCAAGACACCAAAGGCAGGCAGCATTACAATGCCAGGGATAATTTCATGTAAGCCATTAAATTAATGATGACAGTGAGTCCTCAGAGCTTGGCAAATTGGAAATTGCTCGAAGCAGAAGCAGTACAACGATAACACAGTTAATCTTCCACAGAGAAATGATAGTAAAAGGAATGGCTTTTAGATTAGCTGTCATTAAAGTGGAACATCTGCCTCTGCAAGTCAAGTGGACTGTCCTTACTTATAAACACAGGAACTCATTAAAGTTACTGGGTTTGTGTGGCTGTGAGCCAGAGCCACATTTCCACCACGCTGCAAGTCTGGGAAGCTCAGTGGATTACAGTGCAAGTCAGGAAGATGACTTCCCAGGCAATATAGATACAAAGATACATGTGATCCATCATTCGTGGGCTTAGACTCTCCCAGTACCTGGGAGCACATCAGTGACTGAAATTACAGAAATAATGAGTATAATATGAGTTCAAAGAAAAAAGTATTTTATAGTCAGAAAAGTTTTGTTTAGCTCTGCCTGAGCTCTGAGAACAGTTTCCATTTGAATATTTAACAGCAACCAATCTTCCATTATTTCTAAACTGCTCCCTGCCTGCTGGACTGCAGCACACAAAGTCAGGAAGCTTGCATACGGTGTGACAACTATTCTCACATCTGATACTCCTTTTATATTTCTATTAAAAATGTGGAATACTTTATAAAGCCAATGATGGCAAACCATCATTTGTGTAGAAATACAATCATGTTTTTAAAGCTTTCATTGTTCATTACCAGGAGCACCAGCATACCGTAATGATGTCCTGAAGCATGCTGCACACGAGACTTTCAACAAGCAGATGTTACAAGGGAATTTCTTTATAGCCAACTGCAGCCATCAGCTGCACACATAGCATGAGTGACAGATCTCAAAGCGGTTGGAAACAGTTCTGTAATCTTGAAAAATTCCAGCTTAACTTTAAAGAAACACACAGAAGTGACCATTGGATAGCTTCTTCCGTCCAGTTTCTTCAGTCTGGAATTGGAAACAATATCCTGTTAGAAATGGCATGTATGTAATGAAATAGTTGTGATTCAGCTGAGTGGCCCCAGGCCCTGCTATGGGTAAAGGCAATAGATAAAAATGAGATTTACCAGCGTGGAGCGGGAGGGAGATGTTTGTAGATAAATATTGATGGATTTCTGGTGCATAGCTATTGCTGGCAGGGGAGACGGGGCTAAAAGGAAGGCAGCCAAACCTAGCTCCCTAGCAAGAGCAATGCCTCTGATGACTGCTGTGATAGCTTGTTTAACAGAGCAGCAGTCTGGGTAGAGCCAGATTCAAGAGCAGGTGGTCTTCATGGACTCATTAGCACTGAGTGAAGAATCACAATTAGCCTCAGAGTTATATCAAAAGCCAGCAATGGTGGCTGGATAATAAAAAATGCTGGACACTCTGGAAGGAAGGACTCCTTACTAAAACTGTGGTGTGTTATTTTTTTTGAAAGGTAGTGTCTCCTAGCAAAGCATAACAATAGAGTGGTGGAGATGTGTGAACATGTGGGCATGGCATGCTTTTGGCCATTAGGTGCAAGGGCTGGGCAATAGCTGAAAGAAATAGGTCACCTTTAATCCTGCCTGCTCCCCAGGAGTCCAGGAAATGAGTGTCAGAATGGGTTGTGTTGAGTGTGAAATTGTGCTAGGCATGCATAATGCAATGATGCTGCTAATCAAACCCCTCTCACTGTGACTAATCAGAAAGATCTATTTGATATTCCAAGAAATTAGTTGGAAGAGCAAGCCCACAATGGAAATAAAGAACAAATCAGAAGCTTGTGCACAGACAGAGATAAGGACTTTGATCACAGTAGTTTATGTGCACAGAAAGAGGACAAAGAAGATAAAAGAAACAAATAAAAATGCTGATGAGAACAGTTTGGATCTGCAGAGAGAAGCAGCCATTAATCTAGACCATGACTAACAGATAAGAAGTGATATGCCTTCCTGGTGCTTGAAGAAATAGCAGTTTTAGGCTATTCAGGCTGAAAACAATTTTTTCCTCCATGCAACTCTAAAGCAATCTTTCAGGAGTGAATTTGGCCCCTGTCTTTAAAGAAAAAATGCTACAGGGGCACTGAATGCAGACTATTCTAAGGGACAAAATAGAGCACATCACTCAACAAAATAAAGAATGCCAAAAAAAAACCCAAATTTCCTCACTTGGGCCAGTGGATGGAATATTATCCTGGGAAGCAGAACTGCATCATCCTCCCTGTTCTTTCCATGACCACCAGGTGATCTGAGGAAGGCTGTTCCCCAATTTTGTTTTCCTTAACAAAGAAGCACAAAAAGCTTTGGATGTAAAAGGAAAGAGAAGAAAACCAAGTGTCCTATTTATACATAATGTAAAGACCTGGACTTTTAAGAATATCTCAGTCACTGTGAATTACATACTAAAATTGAGAAAGTTGGAACTGCTTCTCTCAGCAGAGAGGCTGTTAAACCAGTGGTCTATTGTCTGCTCTTTTTGATATCAAGCTTAGAAAGAAACTTTCCTATAGCATTTTGATGCCAATTAGGAGCAAGAAGTGCTCATCAATGTCACCAGGATTAGAACCAGAGTAACTTTTCTTGACTTTGAAAGAGAAAGAAACCCATTCTTACCTGTAGTATAGCTGCCTCTGTCCCCCAGAAAACAGAGTATTAGTTACTACGTTGGATGTTTCATCTCTGTTAGATCTCATCCTTCACTTTACCTACGTTGCCTGGGACAGAAGAACATTCTGCTTTGCCTTATATTGCTGCTCTCCCTTATATTGCTGCTGATTATTGCAGTTCCATCAGAAAATGGCACTTGTTCCATTCAGGATGGGGTAGCTGAGTGCTGTAACACAGGATGCTTCACAAACTTACAAACACATCACAAATGTTACTTTCAAGCGACCTTTTTGGCTCACAAAGTAAATTGAACAGTGTGCATGAAAGCTAATTAAATAAATAGCAAGGAAATAGGTTGTTATTTCATAAACTGCAAGCTATCGGAATGTTTTCCTTCACTGTGGCTGGAACCCATGTGGTCTGCAATTAATTATTTAGGTTTGCTAGGTGTTCCTCACAAAGCAGAGCTTACTTTCTTCCACAGTGATTGTAAAGAATATTGCACAGTGCCATTTGCCTTGTTCTTATTAGCTCCGTTGGTCAGTTTTGTTCCACTCTGATATTATTTACTTCTAGTCTTGCTGTGCCACGTTCAGTGCTGTGATCCACTGCATATTTATCATGAGCATCTTGTCCTTCCCTTATTCTTGCAGCCTCACAAACAAACAAGAAACCAATCAGTCACTGGAAGATCCCCACAGATGCATTAATGTATGCTACAGCCGGATGCCTCTCGCTTCAGTCTTGTTTTCAGCTTCTTCAGGTTGGGATTATTTTGATCAATTTTAAGGCCATAATCTGTGATTTTCCAGGCCTCTTCATAATGCTGCATTTCAAAATTGCATTGTGCAATCTTATGAAAAGTTTTTGCTACGTTTTCACTACCAGAGCCATTCGTGATGCTGCACAGTGCCGTGGATTCATCCAATTGCAGTGCTTCAATGTACTGTTTGACTGCTGCTTCTTCCTCTGACACTGACAATAGCAGGTGTCCTTTTGAGCAGTGGTCCTGAACTCGTGTTCTCAGACTGTTACAGCCGTGCTTCTCGATTACTTTCTCCATATCTTTTAAAGCTTTGTCATATTTTTTCAGGTGCATAAAGCAAGCAGCCCTCTGTCGGAGGTATCTTGGGTTATCTTTGCTTGTCAAGATAGCCAGGGTAAAGTAACCAAGAGCCTTCTTATAGTGATACCCTTTAATCAGAACGTTTCCTTCTTGGGCTGCTACCTATGGATATAAAGTTAGTAAGTATTAGAAGGGTAGTAGTAAATTAGTAAATTAACTAATCCAGCCTGGCCACACGTATGGTAACCTAAGAAATGTTTTTCAGCTTTTTCAACTGTTGAAATTGCATCTAGTTGGAGAAATGTACAACTGGCAGATATAAAAACCAATAAGGCAACGGACACTTGCTGTTATCTCAAGGGTTGCTGAACCAGATCCCTTGTTTCTGCATGTGCTGCTAAAACTTGCTCAGAACTTTTCTTCTGAAGTTGTTTACAGCCATAAAAGATGATATGTGAACTGAAAACAGATTGGAGCTAGCTAAAACTAGACAGCATTCTGTTCATGAAAGCACATTTCTGCCATCTTTTCTAACAGGTGACTGTAGGGAAATGGTGTGTTCTGGTCAGTAGAGTGTTAGCCCCACAGATATTTGCATGAGCTAATTAGTGAAGATTGGTCTCTTCTGATAAGTGTCCCAAAGCTAGAAGAAGCAAACCAACTGGTGGCTGTGTTGATCTCCATCAGTGAACTATCCGCCCTTATCTTAAGGGAAAAACAACATGAAAATAGAGAAGGCTGAGAGCCACATCATTTTTAGTCTTGTAAAGGTCAGTAAAGAAAACTCCATTAGACCTATTTGCCTCAAATGGATGCCTCATTATCTCTCTTTATTGGTAATAAACAAAGCTTTTAACATGCTACAGCAGAGTATTTAAGTTATAAACAAGGCTGCCACCAGCAGCTTAGGTCGTGCAGAAGGCTGAGCAAACAAGCTGAGATGTGAAGCACAGGATAAATGTTTTCATCAGCCTGATTCCATGGGATGTCACACGTTTGGGATGCTTGTAGCTACTGAAAATTCAGTTAGCTCAGCCACAGCCTCAGCAGCTATGCTTGAGCAGTCTCTAAAAGCCACACATGACATGGCACAGGTCCTCTCCCAGTCTGCCTGTGTGCCTCGGCTCTGTGTTTGGCTGCTTAGATTGAACTGCTTGCTGTTTAATGCAAGTTAGGAAAACAGGTTAACACTTTTATTCCTAGAAATTCTAAAGTTCTGGATCACGTTGCTCTGAAGAGCTCCTCACAATACTGCGTGCTGTGGGCAGACCATACAGATCTTGAGATCATTTCTATAGGAGTGAGTTCTGGACATCCCTAGGCAAGGAGCTGGCAATCAGCCACACATGTAACTTCTGACATAGGAAACTGAAGGGCTGAAGCTACACTAGCAGCAAGCAAACTCCCTTCCTCTGACCTTTTGCAGTTTAAGAAACCTTTGAGATTCCTATTCCCATGTGGCTTCCCCAGTTGTTTACAGATTCCTTAGCATGGGACCCTTTGCACTATAAATAATAGAGGAATGTTATTACTTTGTTTTTCATGAAAAAAAAAAAAAAAAGTAGTACATCAAGAAGCTTTCCTTGCTCCACCCTTTCCTGAGCAGCTCACGTAGAGTTATTTCTAGCTTTCCAGACCGGACTCCAGGATAAGTGATTTATTTCTGGAATACCTTTAATCCCCAAGCAATGCTCTGCTAGACAAAGATGGGTAAACCCCTGAACTCTTCATTTCAGTCTCCTCATTTGAGAAGTGGAGGTATCAGAAAGAGCACCTTCCCCCTGCAGTGTGGTTAGGAGCCATTGCATAGTGAGACCAAAATTGTTTTCTTTACACAAATTCTTTCTAAAAGCTTTTCTGGCTTTTCTGAGACCTTCCTTTCAAACACAAACTGGAATAACATTGTGGGCAGAAGAAAGTACTATCGGAAAGATCCTTTGTGATACCATGCAGGTAAATTAACCACTTCCTTCCTCACCTAAGCACAGTAGATATTTATCCACTTGTCACAAAATATGTAGCAAAAAACCCCAACCATTTCTGGGCTAATCAGCATAAAAGTTATCATGCTCAGTAAATCTTTGCTGATAATAGAACAGAGAAAGACCCCAGGTTCTTGAGTCCAAATGTTTACTTGATTTGCACAAAAAGCCCGAGATAATAGATGAAAAAAATATAGATCTTATTTAACTTCCACCAGAGGCATTGAGTTCCAATCTTGAAATCAATCCAGCCACCTTCATTCTTGAAAGTGGCAGAGAAATCTTTTGTGATAAATAAGCACCAGTGAGGGGTTCTGTTCCAGCCTTTGTTCCACAGCTGAAAGAAAGAGGCGGAAAGAAATAAAGCGCCTCTCCCCTTTTAAAGGATTCACTAATCTGTGCCATCAGTTGAAACTACAGGAATTCATTTCTTTCAGATTGATAGCATAACAGTCCCTCCTGCACTGGCTTGGAAAGCAGCACGGATGGGCTCAGCTGTGAGACCTCTATGCAGTAAGAGTGATGTGGCAGCAAGGGAAATTTAGCTGTAAAACTTATCTTCATTTATGGATTCCTCCTTAGGGCCCTCATAGACACATTCTTGATTGTACCTTTATCAACTTTATGTAGTGAAAGATTGTAAATTGACTCTAAAATTCCAAACTCTTCCCCAGAAGACTGAACTTTCTACATTATTCAGGAGAGAGGGGCTCTTTTCTCTGTAATGGGGTGTATCTAGGGACTGGTAAATTAATACTTGTTTACTTATATCCTCCTGCTGTTTTGCTGAAATACATACAAAGCACTCCTCTCTAGATGCATTTAGTTTATCAGCATGTTGTTTGTTTTATAACCTGGGAGAAAACATAACAATATAGCTTCTCACCAGGGCTCACTCAATCTACAAATTGAATAAAAGGAAGCAAACTGATTCTCAGAACACAGAGCTTCTGGGTAATCAGAATTGCAGATGCATGAGTGAATGTTAAAGCTCCTCACCATCAATCCAACCTTGTCCTGTCTTGTTACTGGAGATGCTTTCTCAGAGCTGAATGCAATTTGGGAGAGAAACTTAAAAAAACAGTGAAAAATACGTACACAGGGGGACTAGAACAATTTGTTACTGTTATGTTAAACAGTTGTAGCTAAGAAAACCAATACCAAATCTCTCCAACCTCGAAGACTAGTCATTTTACAAAAATGTGAGTATATTTAAAATCCTAAAGATTGCATAAAAGGTTTGAAGCATTATAAGTGATTGAATCAGAACCTTTCGTTTCATTTTAGAAGGAAAATGAACAAAACATGAATTCCCTTTCCCAGAAGCCAGCTCTGAGCACCATATAACTCACTCAGAGTATAATATGAGCAATGATCTTGTTAAATCTCTAGCTCCTCCTCACCATCCCCTGCGTTTTAACAGTGGGAATAAACAGGTTGTGTGCTAGAGAGCCCAACAATGAACACTCCATGTGGTAGGAAGTGGTGATGGATTATTAGAGACTGGAGCAATGAAAGAAATTGAATCCAAACTCTCTAATCTCAGATTGGCTGGAGTGAAGGATGGAGGAAGAACCCACTTTATTTCTCATTCTTCTGATGATGATGTCTTCCTGCATACTTCTGTTCAGAACAACACCATGAACATCTCCACAGCCTGATTTTTCTTCCCGTTTATTTTCCCCCTGAATCTACAAATGTGGCCATCAAAAAAGGATTGTACCTGACAGAGGTGCTGCTGTTGCTTAGCATCTACAAAATTCAGGAGAAACTCCAGCTCCCTTTCATCTTTCTTAGCTAGGATGCTGAATGAGTGAGCTGCCGCTGCCACGTTCCTCTTCTTCAGCTGCAACACAGCCAGTCTTGCACTAGCAATCTCATCAGCAAAGGAGTGCCCAAATGCCTCCTGAAGGTGAACGAGGGCCTCTTCATACCTTCCTGTTGGTTAACACCAGTACAGGCTATATAACCCAATCCGTGTAGAGAAAGCAACATCAATAAAACTTACTAAAGCAGACTGTCCACAGTTCATACCTAACAGCATTAATTACTGCATATCCTCCCCCAAAACTTTGGTAAGCTTCTCTTGAAAACTACCATACAACAGACATTTTGTACTGTTGCTACTTAACATTTACTTTTTATGAATTTACCGATCATTTGTGCACTTATTATGATTAGCTGTGTGAAAGAACTGGTACTCACCATTTGCAATCAAAACATCCGTATAGAAGGTGTGATACTGTGCTTCCTTGCGGAGTTTTATTAGTGCTCCTGCAATCACAAGAAGGTCTCTGAGGGTTCTTTCTTCCTTTGAAAAGTCTTTGGTAGCAACAAGCTCAGCTAACACAGTTCTGCTGTGCTGAAGGAGCCACTGAGCGACCAGCTCTTGGGCTTCATGCTTTAGAGACAGGACTGCTGGGATTACCATTCCTGCCTCTGCCTTCAGCGCCAAGATCAAATCTTGCACTGCCTCCTATGTAGAAATGAGACCAAAAATGAAGTGGTAACAATACCTACATATTGATATGTATTTTTTTCTAATATTTCCAGTTCTCAGCTGCATTTAAGCATGCAAAACAACCAGTAAAACCTGTTCAATACTGCACATTTCTGCTATCTCAGAAAGCAAACTGGCAGGCAGGTGTGCATTGATTGGATAAGGGAGGGCACATTTCTCTCCCTCTACTTCCCTCTGTCCTTAGGTGAATACAGATACATAAATGATAGGAGGTGCAAAAGTTCTAAGAACAGAATTGTTAATTGTTCCACTCTGGCAATGAGAATCAGATCTGGCATCGTTGCATCCTCCAGACTTTCCATCTAGCTTGTGTTTGGGGAATGAAGATTGATGATTGTGCTGAAGTCCAGACAGCAGCTGTTTTTGCAGTCAGACAGTTCCAAGCAGCAATGAAAATTCATTGTTTTACACAGTGATAACACTGTCTCAGACTTTCCTTGCAGCCATGAGCAATGTAAATATACTGTTCAGAGCATTTTACACAAAGATGAATTTTGCCCATTGGTTCGCATTTGACTGTGATAAGCCTTTCTTGGTTATAAACCATCTCACGCTTTACAGAACGGCTGCCAACCTAAAATCCAGAGTGAAGAGTTCAACCCAGTCACATCAGCTCGAGATGCTACATTTCATCTGGCACAAAACTGTGACACGAAAATGTGAGCTCAGATACAGGGGAGCATTTGCAGCATTGCAGAACAACGTATTGTAGTGATGGTGAATACGGTATGACTGAGGTTTAGTCTCCTTCTCTCTAGATTTGGAAAAGCAACTCAGTTATGTCAAGTGCACTGTTTACACAAACAGCCAAAAGCAGAGCCATCACTGGGCAAATTCTTTGAGAAACTCTTCCTTTCTGTGAGTCCGTGGCAAAGACTGGGTATCTTATGCTAATGTTACACTATCAGAAAATTCACCAGCAAATTAATAGTGATACCTTTTGCTGCTTTAGAGCAAGGTAAATTAATCCTCGCCCACTGAGAGCATGTACATTGCCAGGGTCCTCCTTTAAGACAGCATTAAAATCAAAAATAGCAGTTTTCTTCTGACCGAGGTGCCCGTAGCATTGAGCCCTGATGAGGAGGCAATCTTCAGCATAGCCACCTGGAAGAGAGAAATGCAGTCATGCTTACTTTAAACATCTCAAGCCTACTGATGTAAAATAGGGTGCAGTAAAGTCCCGCTGTGTGCAGATGACTGAGCTCCACCAAAAGGCTTCAAAGTGGCTAAGTGAAAATGATGTGATAGGTTTAGATGTTGTGGAAAGTACATGTTGTTTTGGCTAAGACAGCAATCCAGATGGGACTGTCTAATTGACTGCCACACTTAATATGCACTGGAATTTGTGATGCTAAAATTCGTTTTCTCTGCTTTAAAATACATGCTGCCCAAATAAAAAATACAGTCAACAATGAAAGTATGGTCCATTCATCCACTGTGTGCAGAGCATAAATCCTTCCCCTGTCCATACAGCCCTTCCTTTCAAGCCAATTTTGATCAGGATCTTAATTTGCCTAGAGTTGCAATCAATAACTGTGTCATCCCAATACTGGATGATAAATCATCAGTGCCACTGTAAATATTTTTTTATTGGGCAAATGCAGCATCTTGCACAGCTGCCTGCAGAGACGAGCCAGCAGACAGGCCCCTAGCAATTATTTTACAGTAATGAGGCTTTTTCTCCCTCCTGATATGCTCCAAAACTTCTGTACCAAAAGTTATTATCTGTCTGGAGCCCTATCAATTGGCTCCCATAAAGACAATGTCTATTTCTTAACAAGCATCTGTTCTAGCAGGTGGGGGGTTGATAAGCTGGAATGTACGGGCTGTGAAATGGAACCATATCAAAGCAATTAACAGTTTTCCATTTTCATAAACCACTCTCTCTTCTTCTCAATGCTACTGTCATAACATTTTCTCTGGGTGAAAGGCAGATTTCCATACAAACATGGTTTTGCTTGGAATGTGCCAGAAGCATTTCCATATTAGCCTGATGTCTCTCTTGAGGAAAAGCTGGGATAATGATCCATGCAAGTGGGTGCATTCACTCTTTTGCATTGGAACCACACAGCCCACTGGTACGTTGGAACTGGAAGGCAGGTTACTTGCTTTAGTGATTATATTTACATGATGTTCATTATGAGGAATGGGAGGTCCCAAGTAAATGTCATTAGTAGGAAGGTTTGTAGAATATTAGCTGATGTAACAAAGGCTAAACCAGGACCCTTCTGCCTTGAAGCTATCAGCTGAAAATAGCTAAAGCTGAACCCTTTTCAGTAGCCTTTTCAAATTGCTCACTTGCAATTTTTGAGGAAAAGTACATTTTTAGATAACAGGATCCCAAATTTCTCTTCACATTACCAGCTTTCTGGCTTACTTCACTTACCTCTGTGCAGTTACTCATTGAAAATCAATCACCCACTGATCTGATTTCCCACAGAGGTAAATCTCCTATCCATTTCTTTATAATCTTACCCGAAGCAATGATGGCAAAAGAAAGATAGGCAATGGCCTCTTTTATGTCAGCATCTTCCCGTTTGTTCTTCAGGATGCTCAGTGCCCTGGAACGGCAGTGAGTTTGCATCAGCTTCCTGTCTTCATCCTTGAAAATGTCCATGATTGGCAGGAGGCAGGAGGTATCCCCAATTTTGATCACTTTCTTTAGCAGCTTAATAACGTGAGAGAAAAAGATGGGAGAGATAAGCATGGAAAGATAAATGAAGTAAAGAACTGCTAAAGCTGGAAATATTACTGTCTAGTGACACAAGCATGCTCTCTCCCAGTGCTTCTCATGTTGTGCCAGCCATGGTTCACCCAAAGACCATGAATCTCTTCTACCTAACTCCTCAGCTGGCCCAGAGTAAAAGCATGCTGAGAAAAAAATCACCTCTTATCTTTTCTTATCACCTCTGTGCTGTGGCAGTCATTTCAGTGGGTACACTAATCTTGCTTTGGTTACTTTGAGCAGAATCAGCTCTTTCAGACTGCCCATTAACTTGTTATAAATACAGCTGGACCACAGGATGATTGCTCCTGGAAAAGAGTCCCACCTGACATACGATGTCTTTGCCTCCATTCACTACAGAGAAAACCACAGAGCAGTTTTTAGTACATTTCTTAAGGAAAAGAATCAAAAGATGTTTCCCGTGGGAAAGTAAGTGTGCTTAGCAGATACTCAGCATTGAAATCTGAGCCAGAGAAGCCAGAAAGACAAGAGCAAAATTATCCTGGTGCACCAGATACATCTGACAAGCAGGTGGAACAGAAACATTGTAAAGAGAAAATTTTGGTGACACATATTCCATCTAGAAGTTGCAGCAGAAAGCTGCAGAGAGGAATGCAGCTTCCAGGGGCTACTTTCTGATTCTAGTAAAATCATGTCATTCATTAATAGTTTTTTTTCAAAGGCAGCAAATTATATTTTATTTAGTATATTTTTTTGACAGGAATTAATGGCAACAAAACCCCAGGACATTGTAGCTGAAAGTTTATATGGGATTTTAAAAAATGCAATAGTTCCCTCTGATGGTGGGATGTGGTAATTCAACTTAGTAATACTCGATTGGAGAATCAACCTGTGGGAATCTCTTCCATGGTTTCAAGCAAAACTTGCTAGCCAAATTCACTATACCATCATTGATCAGTTCCTTGTTCTCTTTGCTAGCCAGGTGCTCCCTACCTGATTGCCATCATACATGAAACCTTTCTTTAATTGCAGAAGTGCGAGTCTAGCCAGGATGGGAGATCTTTGTGGATTTCTGGAGAGTGCTAATGAGAGCAGCTTGTGAGCTTCTTCTACCCAGCCCATCTGGTACAGAGCATCGGCACAAAGGATCCGTGATGCTTCATCAGAAGGGTCCAGTTCCATCAAGAGAGAAGCCAGCTGGTAAACCCCAAGGGCATCCCTGAAGAAAAAATAAAGAAGAAAGAAAAAAAAAAAAGAAGGGAAAAAGACAACTTTCAGGTAAAATGCTAATAATAATAACAGAACTCCTTCATCCCATCTGGAAGCTAAGATATAAGTCAGTATCAAATGATGATACGTTTTACCATATCTAGCACCACAGAAATCTCTGTCACTTAATTCTATAATCATCATCCTTTATGAAAACATGTTCCTAACCAGCTGTGGATCTAAAGAAAGGTTAACAACAGGTGATTCATACCTGTGGTTGCAGCTGATACCACAATGAGAAAAGAAAATGTAACAGTGATAGTGAGGAAAAAAGAGAAGTGTTGTTTCTACTGAAGAACCATGTGTTAAAATTTGCATGGACTCAAAAGAACTGTGTTAATGGGTTCCTGAAGCAGTGACCTGTGTCTGAGAGGGCCTTGTGTCTTGTCCTGATCTACCAAGTGCAACACTGAGTGAGTTAACATGTTTTTCTGTGCTTCAGTTATAGCCCTGAGTACTGGCCGTGAAATGTGTAAAAAAAATACACTCCTGCTACTCAAGCTCAGCTGTATTTGTTTTTCTGTCCACAGGCTGAACTGCCTCCTGGGTACCTCTTCTTCTGGAGCATCTTCTGTCCCTCTTCCTGGAGAACCTTTAGCAGCAGTCCTCTTTGGTTCCACGGCACGTAGGCCTTGATGGTGAAGATGGTTTCTTCTAGCTTTAACTGGCAAGCTGTGATGTAATCCAGGGCTGTCAAGTAATGGCTGCCACCAGAAATCCGGATCAGCCCGCGCCCACATAAGGCTTTAATACAGCTGTTAGGATGTGGGGAATCATGCTCAATGACCTTTTGAAAGTCCTGCAGGGCTTGCTGATGATCATGAGAATGGAGGGCACAGAATCCTCGCAATGCTAGGAGAGTATTGTGATAAGTTTTCTGCTCTGCTGCCAGAAGCTGGTCACAGATTTCCAAGGCAGCTCTGATGTGTCCATGCAGGAGATGGCAGTCTGCCAGCCGGACACTGAGCTCACGTTTGGACCCCGGGGAGATACGCAGGAGGAAAAGCACTGTTTGGATTACAGAAGGGAGCAGTTCAGTACAACGATTGCTTCTGAGTTCTGTCCGAGCACGCACAGCCTCCCTGTATGCTGCAAACTTCACTTCCAGGACAGTTCTAGCCTGTTCTTCTATCTTCTCAGTGTCAGGTGGTGAGAAAAGCTCTTCAAAGTGCTTCATTGCCAGGTCAGGGGTTGCTGCAAAGGCTTCTGCTAAATCCTGCATCATTTCCTGCATCCGGCCACCCAAGAAGAAATATGCGGCAGCCCGTTCCAAGAGCAGACCCAGCATTTTCTCATCTCTGAGACTATTATCTACTGACAGTCCCTTAAGGGCCTTGCTACAAACTGCCACACACTCCTCAAATTTGCTTTTCCTAAAGAGGTAAGCTGCCTGCGCTCTGCAAACCCAGACATCACCTGGTGCCACTGCAGACAAGAAGGCATAGCAGTTGCCCAGCCAGTGGTCCAAGGAACTGCCATCTGGGCTTTCTTTCTGATACGTTGAGAGAAAATTAGAGAAGGCCTGGATGATCTGTGGTAGGTGTTCTTTTTGCCTGGTACACACATAGGCCACTGCCTCAGCCCGATGCCTCACAAACACTTGGATGTAGTCCGCAACTCCCTTCCTAATCTGTGTCCCCGACAGCACCCATGCCAACGCCCTGAGCAGCAGCAGTTCTACTGAATACTTCGGGTGAGCCTTGAGCAGAACATTGCATTTGCTCACCACCTCCTCTGAGCATCCCCGCCTGAGCAGGGCCTCCAGTTTATATATTGAGGACAGCACGTTGTCAGGACTTAGGGTGGAGAGAAAGACAGCAGCTATTTCCACTCTGAGCGACGCGATGGCCACATTCTTGCTCTGGATCTTGGGAATCTGGCTCTTACCCCTGCACCACATCTCCAAGGTGGCAATGACTCTCTCCCAGAGCCCGTTCTCCAAGGAGTTCACTTTCTGCAGGGCTGTGGGAGCACTGCAGCTGAAGGCGGCCACGTAGAAAGCCGTGGCTGTGGGCAGCTCCTGCTGGGCAAGGTGCTGGTCCCCTTCTCTGCAGAGCAGCGCGGCGAGCCCCTGAGGTGACATTGCCAGCACCTGTATCTTCAGCAAGGAGCCTCACACGAGCATCTACAACAGCCTGTAAAACAAAATCAGCGTGAGGGGCTGCTGAGCACACTTTCTCTGCATTTGGGGCACGCAGCTTCCCTAAGGACAGACACAAACCAAAGAACCAGACGTTCTTACTGGGGAGCAAAGCCACGAGAAGAAGAAACACACAACACAGGTTTAACAGTCCGCATCCGCACGGCAGCACCACGAGTGAGCAGGAAGGATGAGGCCGAGTGCAGAGCATGGTAGGGCTCCTCGCGGGGGTCTCGCCCTCCCTCTCACCCCCACAATTACCTGGCAGCGGCGTTCGGCGGAGCGGCCCGCGGCTCCCGAGGCGAGGTGGGGCGGCGGGGCGGCGGGGGGGCAGTGGGGAGGCGTTGCCTGGAGACCGCAAACACGGCGGCAGCGGGGCGGGACGGGACGGGATGGGATGGGATGGGCAGCCCGGGACTTCAGCCTCATTCTTAGACGTTCACGTAGGGGAAAAAAACCCTCTGTGATTAATAGAGATTTTTTGACATTTTATTAAGAGTTTGGCCGTTACTTTGATTTGATTACTTTCACTTTAATTACTCTAATTAGCTATCAAGATATAATTTAGCATTGCTGTCACATCAGGCCTCTGGTGATATTGCCAGGAAAGACTCGAGGGCATAACAAGAAACCATTCTGAAATAGAAATCCTATTGGAAAGAGCAGAGCTGATCAGACATTGTGGCTCTGCTGGGAGCTGCGCCAGGCTGCACAAATCCTTGCTGCCGTTTGACTTCACTGTGGGCAGAGCAGTGCCATGTTTTGCATGCAGAGAACGTGGAGGATGCTGGTATCCTCTGTTCATCGTTTCCCTTCGAGTCCCTGTTTAGTTAAGGATGTGTGTGGAGGGATGCTGGTACCGTCCGTATGAACAAGGCTGGCCAGAGAGGTGGCAGCAATGTGAGGAGATGGTTTTCTTTACTCAGGTGCTGTACCAGGTGATATGAATGCAGCCAGATTTGTGTTATACAGCAAACTTAAGCTCGAGTGAAGTCAGCTTCCTTCCTTCAGCCCGCTAAGGGATGAGAGCATCAGCATCTGTATGAGCTCAAAGATGATGGGCTTTCCTGGTGGGAAGGGCTGTGGCCTGGCATGCTGTCTGAGCTGTGTGTGTGGGTGCTGCTGTGAAAGCCCTCGGAACAGGTGGCAATGCAGCTTACAGATCCTGGCTCCTCGTGCTTTTCATGATTCAGCAGCCAATTTGCTGCCTGTCCTATGGGGCAGATATGGCAAGCTCTGTTTCTAGGATCATTTAAAAAAATGCAAGAGAAGAAGGAAAAAAAGCATAGACGTGTTTATCTAAACATTCATTAAATATTAAGTTTGCTACACAGTCATTAAATATTAAGTACAATACAATAGCTCCTCATGATGTCTCTGACTGGTGATTAATTTTTAAAGGGAGCTGAGTGGGAAGGGATTAAAGGCACCACAAGTGGCTTTGCAAAGCAGGAGATGCACTGACACATTGCAGTAACTCTTTTCAAGGGGAGCTGGCTGAGAAATCTTGTACTTCTTTTAAGGGTTCTCAGTGCCTGCAGTGCATGTAATGAGCCTTCCCCTGAGGGCTTTTAAATCAGTCAGCTGGGACTGCAGGTGAGAAACCAGAAATGCACAAGATGCTGCTTAGAAAATGAACCATCTCTGATAGGAGGAGTGTGATGGGGTGGGCATTAACAACTTAAAAGAAGGGAAAAAAACTTGGTTGATTTTCTTGAGAAACATTCCTGAAAAGCACACTTCTCTCTTGGTGTGTTGGTTGGAGAGCAGGCACCAAATTCTGCTCTTATTTAGCCTGGTGTAAGTAAGCATAGGGTAGGGAGTGAAGATGACTTGTACTAAATTATACAGGCTGGGCAACTGAATGCCCACAGCACTGAAGTCAAGAAGCTCTCTGCTGATTTACTAAGCCGTTAAGCCACCCGATGAAATTTCATCCCTATCCATATTTAGTTCCACAGCCACAGTCTGCCAGGAGCATTAGTCTGCTGGTAACTGCTGTCAAACAAAGTTGGGATATTCTCTTGTGGAGGAAATCTGCACTCCTGGCATTGTATCCCCATGACAGCTGCTGCTGCTGTTCCTTTGTCTTAGAGGTCTCTGTTTGGAATCTACTTTTTTAAACTTTGCTATTGACAGATCTGCTTCCTAACACTGTCTGGTATAAAAACGTACCCCAAACCTTTCTTTTCAGGATGTTCAAGTTCTCAGTCTGCTATCAGTTCCTTTTGATGCTGTGATAGCCTGCTGGTAGGTCAAACCTTTGAGTCCTGGATAATCACAGAAATAGAACCCATCCTGGGAAAACTATAAGGAGATTAAATCGGTGGTTGTAAAGGACTTTGAAAAACATGGGTGAAAAGTGGTCCGTGTCACAGAAGAAGTTTTAATCTTTACGGCCCAACCCAGTTACTCTGGATCTTGATGGATTTTGTAAAATGTAGTGCTTTACTCAAGCTTCTCAGGAAGGCCTTGAAGAGGTGATGATCTTAAATGTTCCCTTGGCTTTGCAGTGCATAACTATAGATGTTTTGGTACAATAAGCATCCTGTAACTTTCTGTGCCTACATACCTTCATGCGCTCAGAAAGCCAGCATGATATCCGTCTGCACTGGGCTATTTTCATCTGTTTCCCCCAACAAGAACAACAGTGCAGAGTGCTGCAGGCTCCCTGATGAAGAGCAGGATTAAGATGCACTTGAACAAGATTATAAGATAAGAGTTGTCACTCCATTAGAGAAAGCAATAATCCTTTTGTTTATATTCTAGAGATTAAAGCAGTAACAGCACAAAACCCCCAAAGGTCACCACACACATGCTTTGCTCTCGGTTATTTTCTGTAATTTAACTGTGGGATTCAGCAGCACAGTTGCATAAATTAGTTAATTCTCCAACTCCTTGCTCTGGTAACAAGACGGATCTGTTTACTCTGGAGACAGGAAGGTGTGCTTGAAATTGAACAAAGGCCCTCGAAGGGAATGAAGTGTTTCCAAGGAGTATTAATAGCTTGGAAGTAACGGTGTTTCTTGGCTGCTGAATCCATGTGTGTTTCTTGAGCGCCTGGGAAGGGTTCTGCAAGGCTTCTGTTCTCCCTGTCTGCACTGCCATAGGTGCAATGTGCATGCCTCGTGGCAGTAATTACTTCTAATAAGCTTGTGTTCAATTGAAAAGCAACTGTCTTAGCTGATGAGGACAAGCCAAACTTTTCTGACACTTGAGAAGAAAGAACTCCATTTGGGTATGGTCAGATGCTGACTGTGGGTCCACATCCAGAGTGTGCACACAGTGTACCCTTGTGTGAAGTACTGTGTTCCCCTGAGGTTCGTGAGTCAACATCCAGCTGCCTCTTTGATGCCACATCCTCTGATACGAAGGCTCAAATCTAATAGTTTCTACCTGAAATTTCCTGTGCTGAGCTGTGTCGGTAGCATTCCACAGCTGAACTTTGCAAGTACAAGATTTTCTAGATGGAGACTGCTGAAATCAATGTCAGTTGCACCACACGTAGAATTGGGGAGCAAGATTAACATCTAAATAGCAAAATATTTTGGCATACTGGCTTTTCCATCTCTTCCAACCCAGCATTTAGACAGTGTGACATCTAAACTCATTCAGAACTTCATGTACAGTGAGGAAGCTGCTGGGACAAGCTGGGGCACACCTGAATAAATGGCTGGTGCAGAACGGCCATCATCAGGTTTTGTTTCTGTGCTGTGTTGTTTGCTGTGTTTGTTTGGGATGTGAGCTGCTCAGGCTGGGGGTATGATGAGTATGATGGGCTGCATCTCTGCAGAGATCTCCCAGCACTGACAGAATGTGAGGAATAACAAACAGTGAGGTATAAAATAAAGGAGGCTGTTGCAGCATCATGGTAGGTGTTCTGCCAACTCGTATTACGCAAACAATGGTAACCAGCCTGCTTTTTCTCCTCTGTTAGCATTGAAACTGACTGCTTTTGTTTCCTCTTGTTCCTTCTCTACTTGACAAGCAAATGGGGATAAGAACACGTTGTTAAGGGATAAGTTATTTGGCTGCACTAAGTTTCTAAATCATATTGGTTTGAACTAAGTTCATCAACCAGGCATGGAAACATTAATCACCCAGAAAAATAACACACAGTGAAATGACTTTTCAAAATGTCGTTGGTATAATTATCATCTTGGCCATTACATTAAATGCCACCATTTATAACTGTTACGTTTAAGTATGCAAACAGTAATTAACTTGGTAATGAAATGAGGACCCCTGTGCCTCTCTTCCCTCAGCTAATTTGCATGTTAATTATCATTAGCAACCAGGGAAACAAGTTATAAACAACTTAATTAGCAGCTTAATCATTTTTACAAGAAAACGCGCTGCACTTTGATACATGAGCAAGAGTGAGATTAATGGAGGCGGGCGGCCGTGCTGCCGCTGCAGGCAGCTCAGGGACACACAGCTGTGGGTGCACGCTGTGCTCGGCTGCCTGCACCCTGCACACGGGGCAGCATCCCTGCAGAGGCTCCTTCAGCTTTGGGCAGCAGTTGCTTCTCTCTGCCATGCCTGCTTTACGCGGTGCTTTGGGGCTGGCGCTGGGCGCTCTGCCTGGCAGCAGCCCTGGGTGTGAAGTTTGGGTTTTTGTGCATGTGCTGAAATCCTCGATGGGTAAATACCCAGATGGGGCTCTCTGTGTTGCTTAGACAATGGTTAAAATGTCAGTCTGGGAATTAGTCCCCATTAGTCTGCCAGGAGCACTTCTCATCTGGTCAAGAATCAATCATTTGATGAAAGGCAATAGAAATTTTGTCATAACACGAGGAGACGTCGTCTAAGGAGGTTGTGGAACATCTGTCATCAGAGATTTGGGGGATGGTTAGATAAACATCTGCAGGAGGTGCTTTGGGTGCTGTGGAGCGTGCTGCAGGAGGGAGCAGAGCTGGGGGCCGAAGGCAGACAATGTCTGTGATGTGGTTGCAGAATGACTGTGATGGTTACAGGGAGATGTGCAGGCTGACAGAATCACTGCACGGCTGGTCCAAGGCCAGGCTGCCTTCCTTCCACGGGAACCGAAGGATTCTCACTGTTATACTGAGTAAAGAAATACCTGCTTGGATGAAGTTAAACTCAAAGGGCGATGCAGCCGCGATGCTGCTCTCGTTACCGGCAGTGCGATGCCCATCCTTCTGCCATGACAAAGCTTTACCAGTAGAGGGTACCAGTGCACTATTTGTAAGGACAAAAGTTGTCCTCCAAAAACCTTGAATTTCTTATTTTAAGCGACTTGCTGGGGCCGGCACAAAAGGAGGGAGCTGCTATCTTGTGAGTTTGCTGCTTGCAAAGTCCTGCTCACACAGAAGGAAGCCGTGGGGGGCACCTCCAGCTTTTTTCTTTTTCTTTTTTCCCCCAGACCAAAAGATTTTGATTTTGGACTTTTGCATTTGTCTGCTGGCGCATCACTGGCCCTCAGGAACTGGGGATAGGTGATAACAATGTGCAGAGCTGTGAAAGCCCCCGGCTCAGCTGGGCTCTGAGTTGGGAGTGAAGAAGTTCAGTGAGCTCTGTGGAGCTGATTGCTGTGTTTCTGGCTCTGGGTGACAGTTCAGACAGATGTTATGCTGCAGGAACTGCTTCCTCTCAAACTGGGACTAGGAATTTAGCCAAATGTTTTTCTTCTCAAGAGCTTGTGTAATTTATAATAATGCAGAACATCTCTGAGAAGTGCCCTACAGAATGCTTTGCTTTTTGTGTTTGTAACTGTTTTGCCTCCCAAAACCTCCCACACCCCCAGCCCAGCTCAGGCAATGCCCAGCTGGCACAGCTGGTTCAGCCCTGGTGCATCACATCTCCTCTGCCACTTCCCCACGAGCAGCACTGCCTGCGGAATGGCAGCCAGTAAGCAGAAAGCTTCCTGTGCTATGTTCCATAAATTCTTTATCAGCTCATGTAATCAAATAGCAGGGCTGGATGTTGACTTTGTTACGGTACCTGGAGCAAACCTCTATATGTTAATTTAAAGCCATAAAACTACAGCTTAGGGTTTCAGCATCCTAATTGAAACTTCCTCTTCTTGGAGGCATTCATGCTACAGCAGAATAATAATCATCATAAAAAAGCAAGATGCTGATAAAATGAAAGTGCATTGTTTCAAGTAACCCATAAATACCAGGAAGACTCTTGACACCTGATGCCAAAAGGCAGCGATGGTGAAGGATCCCCACTGGACATTGTGCCTTTTACCAGCAGTCCAGTGGAAGCTGCATAAGGAAATCTCATTGTCCGACAGCATCTCTTAGGACTGGAGATAAAATAAATGGAGTTGGTAGAGATTACCTGGTCCTTTGGTGGGCCTGCTGAGTAGGCTGCAACCAAATGCCGTAGCAGATCAAAGGGAAAGCTAAATTATAGATTGATAGATGCCTTTAGTTTATAAGTTATTAAGCACCAGGTAACAGGTTAGATTAATATTGTGCCCGGAGGTTTCTTTTTTTATCCTTTCTGCTGCTTTTCCCTCCCTCTCTCTTTCTCTCTCTCTTTGTGAATTGGTGAAAACAAAATATTTTTCTAATTAAGTAAATCTACAGTGCTTGCTAATGGGGCCCGTCTGTGTGCTTGTCATAGGGTACAGGGAGAACTGGAATAATGATTTTATTTTTTCATTAAATAGAATTATAGGCAGTTACTCAAAGCAACTGTGAGTCTAACTGAAAGAAAACCATTTCTTCTTAATTTACTTTCACGGTTCTGGATGATAAAAGAGTGTGTTAGCTGGAAATTAAATAAAAAACACAACATGAAGAAGCTTGAAATACTGTTGCTCAGGCACAGGTGGGCAGGAGGAGCACAGTGGTTTTCCTGCCAAGTAAGACCTTCCTCTTTGCCCTCAGAAGTGCACTGCTGCTCTCTGGCCCTCCCCAAGCTTTGCTTCCAGCTTCCCCCATTCAGGGGTAGCCCTTCGTGTCATTCACTCCCAAACCATTTAAATCACCTCCTGGAGGGTCAGACTTCCCCTGCCTGTCTGTGGGAGATAAGGCATGTCCAAGGACGTGGGGCTGGGCAGGGGGTGCCAGCAGCCATCCAAGCAGGGCTGGGGGTGCTTTGTAGATGCGCTGCTTCACTGTCCCTGGGCTGGCTGGCTTTCTGCTCTCTCACTGGGGCTGCAGTGGGCAGGTGAGGCTTGACCTGTTTTTT